TTGATGGTCCCAGGGACCTCCGCTCCTAGACTGAAAAATTAATCACTCCCCTCCTTGCTACAAAACATCTACCTTTACATTTCCAACCCTCACAATCAATCCTGATGACAACTATTCACTATTGTGTCACAAGAGACCTATCTGCATTTAGTCTTGGAAACTTCTTGATGGCTGTATACTCTCTTCATTTCCTTCCCTCTCTCACTACCAAAAACACTGTAAGGGCTCTATATTTGAAAAAGGGAGGAAGCACAAGGTCTCTACTCTGTGTTATAAAAGGATGGGGAAATTAAAAAATAAGAACAGCCTAATAAAACATATTGTTTCAAAACTATAGTCTGTTCTAAAGATACTGATTCACATTGGAAATGAAACTCTAAAAGAGTTTGATCTGAATAATTTACATTTTAATGCCTTTCTTATTTTTGTCTTTAAAAAATAATGCTCTTTAGTTGAACTACAGAAGAGACTATGAGGATACCAAAGCAAATGTTCATATTCCCAATGATATGATGAATCATGTGCTGGCTAAAAAATGCCAGTACATCCTCAGTGATCTGGAGTACCGGCACTACTTTCACCAGTGGACGTCTCTTCCAGAAGAACCCAATGTTATACGTGTCCGAAATGCCCAGGAGATCTTGAGTGATGTATGTCCTTTCTGCTTGACTCAATTACCTTGCCTTGATCCTTTATGTTCCCCATTGCCTTTATATTCATGAACTCTCCTTCTTTGCAAGACAAAGTGCCATTGATCACCAATTTTTGGTGTAAGAATCCTCTCTGAGTCTAGGGATATCTATGCTAAATACACATTTAATCTGTTTATCACTAGGCTAAGACTTAAGTGGAATCATGGTGTGGTGCTGTGGTTAATGCACTGGACTGAAAAGTCAATTTGAACTGCAAGGTTGGCAGTTCAAGCTCACCAGCGGCTCCTTGGAAACCCTATACAGGGTCGCTATGGGTCGGAACTGACTCAATGGCACTTAACAACAACCACAAAGACTTAAGTATTGCTCTCTTCCTAAACCAGGGCATTAAAGATCTTCCAGCTGTTGAGAAGCCTACCACATGACCTTTAAGCACTAAGCACAACTGAGTGTCAATAAGAAATAATCAAAATGCTCTATTGTAAATACTGTTGGTACCTATCAACTTTTGTTGTTCCTTCTTTCTTACAGAACGTGTATAAAGATGACTTGAATTGGCTGAAAGGCATTGGATGCTATGTTTGGGATACACCCCAGATCCTGCTTGCCAAGAAATCATATGACCTCCAGAGTCAAGTGAGTCAATTTTCCTAATAACTGACCATGGGTCTTTGGAATCCATGTTTCACCCAGTGGGCTGATGGTCATGCTGTCCCAGTGCCTGATCAGAGAAAGCTGATGTAATAGTGCATGATCAAGGTAACCAAAGGCTTCTCCCCAAAGAAACCTCCTGTGGTGGCCTGTTCTGGTGTTGGACCTTTGTAATCTGAACCTCTAGTTTGAGGCACTGGGTGTTTATAACAGTTATCTGGGAGGCATTCCATAGCAAATTACTATCAAGGTTCAGGTTAGCTTGCAGAGACTAGAAAACAAAAGCATAGATAAGTTTTTAAGGAAAGTAATGGATATTGAAACTTTACAGAATGTAGTTCTGCTCTGATAGGGCATGTCTAACAGAAAGTAGGAACTAATGGGCTAATGGTAAAGAGGAGCATATGAAGGAGATGATAGCAGAATGAAGAAAGAGATCGGACAAAGACCCAGATCCCACTCTTCATCAAGAAAGACTATTCACTTGGAATAGTCTGCTAGATAATAGAACAATAGCCTCATTTTTTAGTATTAAAGCAGAAAACCAGACATAAAGGCATATATGTTAGCCCTTATTGTAGCTGATGACAGACCAGAGACAATCTTTAGTGACGTTTGTTTTCTTCACAGATACAATACACAGCAGCAGGTAAAGAAAACCTACAAAACTATAATATGGTCACAGATACACCACTTTATGTGACTGCTCTTCAAAGTGGCATTAATGCCAGTGAGGTGAGTTTTCCTTGTATGTCTCTTCCCGGAACAAGCCACTTGTTGTCTTTCCATGATTTCAAACCCCAGCTGTGTACCAGTTCAGCCTGGTTCAGTCATGACCCGAGAAGCAACATCAGAATGGACATGTATTTTTAAAGTGTGTGTGAACCAACATGATAACTAGAACAGAAAAAAATTACTGGATGAAAACTTTCTAGAAATGTAATCTCCGTCTTAGAAAACAAGGGCAGTGCATGTTATTTAGCCACCAAATCTCCACTAGCCAACTGGGAAAGCTTCTATCTCAAAGATGGGCACACATGGCTTTGAATGTGTGTTGCTCTCAGGCCTGGCAATAATCCAGTGCCACACACCAGGCTCCTCTTCTGCCTCTCTCATTCCAGAACTTTAAACTGTAATTTTCTTGTTCCACATCATCTAAATTTTCAAATTTTGGGTATGTCCCATTTTGGCTTCATCAATGATGGCTGAATTGGTCCAAACTAGTTTGAAGCCCTGTTTCACATAGCAACAATGAATAACCTCCTTTTTTTTTTTTTCTTTCCTTTTTATCTGTAGGTGAAATATAAAGAAAATTATCATCAGATTAAAGACAAATATACAACCATTCTAAAAACAGTGGATTATGACAGAACCAAGAATCTGAAAAGTCTCTATAGCAGTGTAAGTTGATTTTTCTTTCCTCTCATATTTGCACCATCTTTTCCACCTTCAGAAACAATAAAATAATAAAGTGATGCCTCAAAGGTTTTCTAGCTTTTGCTCTGGGACTTCAAATTCTTATTTTGCCTCATAAATCCACCTCATTACAATTAAATAAGCCCTAATTAGAACATTGCACTTTTTCATACAGGTGACACAAATTCAGAAACCTGCTACTCATTGTTGGCAGGTACTGTTGAAGCTATTATTTGTTGACTCTGGCTTCTCCAGTAGCCAGTGACTAACAGACCAACAAAGCATTCTGGTTTTCCTCCTTTGAACTGGTTAACTCAACAAACAGTTTTATTACTTTTTAACTTATAGAAAGTTAGTATATACTTATATAGTATATAGTGCAGGCTTATAGAAAATGACCTAAAATAGTACAGAGAATTCTCAGCTATCCATCAACCATAATACAGTGATCAACACTAAGAAATTATCATTGTTGTAATACTACGATCTCAATCACATCTTGTACCCAGCTTTTCCACTAATATTCTGTTTCCATTCCAGGAGTCGATTTACGATCCCACATTGCACTTAGCTGCTATAGCTCCTTAGTCTCCTTTATTTGTAATCATTTCTCTGTGCTTCTTTTATAATTTTGCCACTTTTAAAGAATATTTGCAATTTACTTTGTATAAAGTCCTTCAAATGGGGTTCATCAGATGTCTCCTCATGATTAGATTTCAGTCATGCATTTTTGGTAAGAATGACCCAGATCTCATATATCCTTCTAGGTGGATCATATCAGATGGCATACGACAACAATAACTGATGACATTAGCCACGATCACTTGGTTGGTGGCATCTACCAAGTTTCTCCACTGCACTTACTGTTTTTCCTTTTTGCTTTGGAAAAATTACTTGGTGGAGATACTCTGAGTTCCTATTTCTCCTCAAACTTCCTCCTATATATTTCGGCATATAGTAGCGGGTCTTGCTTGTAACAATCTTTCCTGTGTTATATGTCTAACGGTGATTTTCTACTTCCCTCATTTCTTCTATGTTTATTAATCAGAAACTTTCTTTAAAGAAGAGTGTCCCTTACTCACTATTTCTTTCTTTAAGTCAGTGTGGGCTCATGAATTCTATGGGATGGAATATAAAATGTTTTTATTTACTTTTTTACTTAAATAATTTCATCTTTGAGGTTGGTTTTTAAGTCTCCTTGTCATAACCCCATTATTAAGGGGCTTAAAAAAAAAAAAGAAAGAAAAGCAAAAAAAACTACTTTACTTTCTTTCACCACAACCATTTAGTCAAAGTGCTATTTTCCAATATGGTTGTGTTGTGCATTTGGTAATACAAATAGGGTCATTTGTGACAGTTTGTACTCCATTTTGAACCCTACTCCCAACTTTTGTTTTTCTTTTGTCTTTTTTTAAATTTGCATGGAACAAAATTCACTCTTTTTGGCATTGGTAGCATGAGTTTTGACAAATGCATAGCCATGTATCTATTGCCACAGTCAAGGTTCAGAAACATTCCATCACCCACAAACTTCCCTCTGGAGGCTCCACCCTCCTACCTCTGGTATCTGCAGATGTGTTTTCTCTGTCCTTATAGCTTTCCCTCTTCCAGAAATGTCATATAAACGGAATCATACAATATGTAGTTTTCCAGTTCTGGCACCTTTATCTTGGCAAAATGTATTTATATATTATGCATGTTTCTACAAAACTCAATAGCTTGTGCCTTATTATTTCAGAATAAAACATTCCATTGTATGGATGCAGCAGTTTGTTTACTCATTCACAGGCTGAAGGACATCTGAGTTGTTTCTAGATTTTATGGCAATTATGAATAACACTGCTATAAACATTTGTGTGTGTGTTTTTTATGAACATAAATTTTCATCTCTCTTTGGTAAACACCTAGAAGTGGAAACAAACTTTTGACCTTGATTAGCTACAAAAGAACTGTTAGTTGCTGTTGATTTAATGACAACTCATGGCAACTGCATGTGTGCAGAGTAGAACTGCTCCATAGAGTTTTCAAGGCTGTGACATTTCAGAAACAGATTGCCAGACTTTACTTTAGAAGTACCTCTGGGTATGTTTGAACTGCCAACCTTTTGGTTGGTAGTCTAGCACTTAACTATTTGCACCACCCAAGAACACCTGGATAAATAAATTTAAAAATAAATGTTAGTGATCCTTATTCTCCAGGAATTCCTAGAACGACAGGGCCTCTGACACCTGGCAGCCTGTGATAATGTCCTATAGTAGAAAACAAAATAATGAACTATGAAATTATGATCTTGGCACTAAACCAGTTATTTTCTTAGGTATACTTGGGCCCTACAGAGTAAGAAGATCTGAAGGTTGGTAGGGAGTATCTGAGGACAGAAACAGAAGAGATCTGCTATTCTATAGCTAACCAGAATCCATTTCCCCATACTAATGAGAAACTTTTTCACCCCTACAGAACCTGTACAAGGAGGCCTGGGATAAAGTGAAAGCCACCAGCTACATTCTGCCTCCCAGCTCTGTTTCTCTGACACACGCGAAGAACCTGAAGCACCTAGCCAGCACCGTAAGTCAGACGTTCCCATCCCTCCTGCCCTTGCCTGCCCTCCACTCCCAGAACTGTTGCAGCTGATTCTTGTGCTGACCTATGGATAAGGCCATGGGGTATCCCAGCAAATAATCCTAGCTGCTTTGTCCTCACAATCTGTGCATTTACTGCTTCCTGTCAAGGGTACTGCCATCCAGAGAAAACTCCTGCACGCTACCAAGAAGGGCACAGATGGGACCTTGCAAGCTGCTGATATGCATATACTCTGTGTTTTAGCTAGAAGTGAGAAGAGACAGATGGCATAGTATACTATTCAAAATCGATTCTCTTTCAGTAGAATCCCATGGGCTTTTTGAGAAAAATAAAACAGTAAATGTCATACCTGTTGTTACACCATCCCCAAATAAATTATTTAAAAAGGGCATTTATAACTATTCAAAACAAGATTTTATAACTTTTTAGAATTCTACTCTTATAAGGCAGAATTTTCTTAGGTATATAAATATAATTGTGAAAAACTAGCAAGCTAAATCACATAAGCTATTTAAATATGACATAAATTTCTATGACCTTTTATACCTGAGATATTATAAATTCCCTATAACCTTCATTATAGTTCTAATAAACTTACTTTCTTTGTGTTTTTTTCCTACCAGAAACTTCAGACAGACAACTCTTCATTTTGAATGTTTTATATGAGTTAGGCCAGTATTTTTCAAACTTTGTTGACCATGATTCTCAGTGAGAAATTTATTTTATATTACAAGTCAACCCCCACACATATTTGTTGTTGTTGTTTAAGTGCCCTCCAAGTTGCTAAAAGTTTTCCCATAGAAGTTAGTTATGTATTATTTTTTTTAAAGAAAAACCCTGTTAAAGTTGGAATTCAAGGAATTTATTTCTTTAGTATTGCTGCTATTGTTGTTTTTGTTATGTGCTGTAGAGTTAGTTCTGATTCATAGTGACCCTATATAGGGTTTCCAAGGAGCAACTGGTGGATTTGAAGTGCCAACCTTGTGGTTTGCAGTCCAGTGCTAATCCTACAACACCATACCAGGAGTCCACACATATATACACAACTGAAATTTACCTTACTTCTCGCTGTCATAAATGGTTCACAGAAGAACACTTACCTTTTCACTACAGGCACTGTAGTTATTTTGATTTTATTCCATCCATTTAAATGCTAGTGACCTAGTGAATTGATTTTCATATCCTCTAATAGGCATGTTGTTGCTGTTGCTAAATGCCATCAAGTCTGCTCTGACTCATAGCAACCTTTTGAAGGATAATGTACTGGACCACAAAGTCGGCGGTTCAAACCCACCAGGGCTCCTTGGAAACGCCATAAAGGGTCACTTTGGGAACCAACTTAACAACACTTAACATCAACAACAATAAGGTTTCTGAGGAGCAGCTGGTGGGTTTAAACTGCTAACTTTATGGTTCACATTCCTTCAGCACCACACCAGGATAGAGGTGCACATTTTAGAAAAAGACTTCTTTGGACAATATATGGAATTAAACTAAAATTTTACCCAAAGAAAAAATTAATATACAGAATTTTGCTCCGACCCAATTCTATTTAGGAGATTAAAAACAAACTAGCACAAAGGAGTAAACTTTTCATTTGTGACAAGAAGTTTTGTGGGTAGGATTTAGAAAGTCTAGCAGAAGTGTTTTCTTTGTGTCACAAAAATAAGTCATAAAGACAGGAGTCTTGGCAAATTATTTTTGAAACTAGGAGGAATATAAAGAAATTAATCCTCGAAGAGAAGTCCAACCTTAGTTTAATAAGAGAAAAAAGTGTCTTTGAATGATACTTTCTTTATAGCTAAGCAATAGATAAGATGTAAGAAGCATGGGAACAAATGTTCTGGAAAATTCTGGTGGGTGTTTTAGTTGGCCTCCAGTCAATACAGGGCTTGACTAGAATTCTGACACAAATATCTGTTTCCTTTTTTTAAAACTGAGAAGTAGACCTCTGGGTTGTGAAAGAACTGAGATTGGGTCTTATTCACTGTAAGAGGCTTACCACTTCGGTCATATAATCTGGAAGCATTAATCAATATGTCAATATGGCTTGCCAACTAAATATGAATGCCTGAAAGTTAGTGTTCTCACAGATGTTGTTTATGTAGTATTTTTTAAAAACCCCATTGACACTGAAATTCAAGGAATTTATTTTTTAAATATTGTTGTTATGTGCCATAGAGTCAGCTCTGACTCATAGGTTTCCCAAGACTGTAAATCTTTGCAGCAGCAGTAAGCCTTATCTTTCTCCTGCAGAGTGGCTGGTGGGCTTAAACTGCCAACCTTGTGGTTCACAGTTGATTGTTTATCCTACAGAGCCATCAAGCTCTCATCTTATGTATTGTTGTTGTTGTTAGTGTTGTCAAATTAGTTCTGGCTCATAGCGACCCTGTGTAGAGTTTCCAAGAAGCTACTTGTGGGTTTGAACTGCCAACCTTGCAGTTAATAGTCCAGTGCTGATCCTACAGTGCCACACCAGTATTAGGCTGGTCAATTATTTTTAAAAGATTTTCAGTGTACATTTTAAGCGTAAACTTATAGTGTTTAGAAAAACATGCAATTATTACAAAAGAGATCATTTTTAAATTGCATAATTTAAAAAATGAATTTATTGTAAATAGCAGTAAAGCTACTAATGTTGGTTTAGGAGTTTTAATAGCAGTAACTAAAGTGATATAGTGCTTCACTATTTCGAACATCATTTTAATAATCTGTGGCAGGTACAGTATTTATTAGTGTTACACTTCTCTATACAGATGAGGAAACAATCCCAGAGATATGGTGACCTCAAGTTGGCTAGATCTTAGAGGCAGGCCATTTCCATGAAATCTCAGGTTCTTTGAACATTAGTCTCCAAAACTATTTTTCTTTCTTTGTACTTGTTCTCTATAGGTCAAATACCGGGAAGAATATGAAAAGTTCAAAGCTCTTTATACTTTACCAAAAAGTGTTGACGATGACCCGAACACAGCACGGTGCCTTCGAGTTGGCAAGCTTAACATTGATGTAAGTAATCCCAAAGACCTTGTGAAATAAAATTGAAACCAAGTGAAATAAAATTGAAACTAAGTGAAAATCCCCATGTTAGGAATCGGAACATTTTCTAGAAAACAATACACATGGCAACAAGTGTGCATAGATGAAGCAGACACACGTTATTTTAGCCCAGGCTTTTTTCCCTTGGTCTGAACTGATAGAAAGTGTTAGGAAATGCCAGGCCCCACCCTGCTCCCAAATGTAAGTTGCTGATGGTTAAAGGGTGGTTTCCCTGGCTTCTAGAATGTATGGGAAAAGCAGGTAGTATCGTGATGCCTCGCAGAGTTCCCTGTATAATTACCATGTTATTTTAACTCCTCAGCGTCTGTACAGATCAGTGTATGAGAAGAACAAGATGAAAATCCACACTGTGCCTGACATGGTGGAGATGGTGACTGCGAAGGATACTCAGAAGAAAGTCAGTGAGGTGGATTATCGCCTACACCTCCATGAGTGGATTTGCCACCCCGACTTGCAAGTTAACAGTCACGTCCGAAAAGTTACAGATCAGATCAGCGATGTAAGTCCACTGCTCCTGAAGCGTTCCCCTTCTAAGCTACCCAGAAAAGAAGAGACAGACTTGATTCTTTTCAGCTCTGCTTTTCTGTATATCCATGGGTCTGACTTGACTTGGGAGCTGTCTCTGCACACAGGGCCTTATGTACCAATGCTTCTGTACTTCCAACACCTGCTTCCTTGATGCTTTTTCCTTTTCATTTCACGAACTCACCTGTGCCCAATGTGTGCCTTATGTTTTTGTCTTTTAGTTTTATTGTTGTGAAAATACACATAACAAAAAATACACCATCTCTATAATTTCCACATGTATAATTCAGTGGCATTGAGTACTTTCTTCAAATTGTGCAGCTTTCACTATACTTTTTCAAATCATTCCATGATCATTAAGATAAACTCACTGCCCCCTAAGCAAAAATTCCCCTCTCCTTCCTCTCCTCACTCCAACCACTAGTGACTACAAAGATTATGTAATAATCTTTTATTTCTATATACCTGCTTATTCCAGATAAGTGAAATCATATAGTAGTCATCCTTTGCAACTGATTTATTTCACTCAGCATAAGCTATTCAAAGTTGGTCCATATTGTTTCACACAACAGGACTTGATTTCTCTTTGTGGCTTAGTAGTATTCCAGTTGGTGTATTTACATTTCTTTTATCCATTCATCTATTGATGCACATTTTTGGCTGTTTCTATTTGCCTTTTAACTATTGTGAAAAGTGCTGCAAATGAATATTTGTGTAAAGGTTTCTGATACATTCTTGTCTTCACTTCTTTGGGATATATACTTGGGATTCAGATTGCTGTGTTATACAAGGAGGTTTCAAAACACTCATGAAATAACTGCAATATCTTTTCATTCCATTTTTCCATGATTTTTTTACCCTTATATGGTAGTTCTATGTTCTACCTTTTTCAGGAACCATAAAACTCTCTCCACAGTGGCCTTGCCGGAATGTGTATGTGTTTTAAGTGTTAAAATTATGGTTAAATTATTTTTAATTCTTTCCATCTCTTGAAACCTCTAGATTGTATACAAGGATGACCTCACCTGGCTGAAAGGCATTGGTTGCTACGTCTGGGACACTCCTGAAATTCTTCATGCCAAACATGCCTATGATCTACGCAATGATGTGAGTTTGCCTTTATTTTTTAGAATATTCCCATCCCTATGTAGGCTGGACCCAAGAGGTTTTTTGTTGTTTGGTACCATGGAGTTGACTCTGACTCATAGTCATTTATGCACAACAGAGCGAAATACTGCTCAGTCCTGCACCATCCTCACAAGACTCCCCAAGGGAGAGTCTATAAAATAGGGGCACTGCTGAAGATGCACTAGTTAAATGTGGTTTAAGTGGGTTTGAGGGTGTCTGAGCTGGAAAAAGATGCTAAGGAACAGAAAGCAGCCATTTAAACATAAAGTCAATTGGTAATGCTGTCTCAGGATAAAGAAAGGGTACCTGGTTCTTCTACCCACCTTTAGGTTTATTTTGGAAAATGGAGCACATAATTCTCATGCAAGAAAATCTCATAAGTTAAGGGTGATATTATAGAAAGGCTATATTTATAATAGTAGTCCTGGTATGGTGCTGCATGTTAATGCAGTGGACTGCAAAGATGGTTTGAACCACAAGGTTGGTGGTTCAAGCTTGCCTGTTGCTCCTCAGAAATCCTATACAGGGTCGCTATGAGTCAGAACCAACTCATCAGAACTTAATGACAATATTTATAATGAGTATATTTGCTAGGAAAATCCTTGATTAATACTGTAATCACAATTTCAGTAAGAAAGTTAAGCTTCTAGAAAATAGTTCAAGCCCTCAAGAAGACTCTCCATATGACTATACACAATGACTAGACAGATTGTTGCAGAATTCAGACGCATTCTATAGTTAGTGCTGATGAATATAAATCCCAAAAGTTCAGTCATTCCCAGTCCCTGTGATAACTAGTAATTTCTGGTTTAGTCTAATGAATGGTCCCAACATGTTCTTGGTTTCTTTCTCTTGGCAGATCAAATACAAAGCTCATGTGCAGAAAACAAAGAACGATTACAAGTTGGTCACTGATACACCAGTTTACGTCCAAGCTGTCAAAAGCGGGAAACAGCTAAGTGATGTAAGTGTTCACTGGGGAAGTTGCTTTGAAAAGTGTTGGCTGGAAGGGGAAGATAGTGGGTAAGACATGTCCAGAAATAAGACCGGGTAAGCAGCAGTGGCAAAAACTAAAGGCTGGGTCGTGCCACACTTTCTCTAACAGGGAAACCAGAATTGATGCTTTGTTTTCTAAAACCTGATGTGTTTAAGTAGTGCCCTGAGGTGAAGTCATAACTCGTCTAAATGTATGAACTACTGTGTGGTTTAGAACTTCAAATATTGCTTGTTATAAACTTGTGTCATGAACAGCAGTTTGTATCTCACTATCTAGACTTTCTAATAATTTACAGTAAACTACGGTAGAATAGGAGTCCTCGTGTGGTGCTGTGGGTTAATGTGTTGGACTGCAAAGTCAGTTTAAACTGCAAAGTCGATGGTTCAAGCTCACCAGCCGCTCCTTGGAAACCCTATATAGGGTAGCTATGGGTCAGAACTGACTCGACGGCACTTACAACAAAACGGTAAACTAGAAATCCCTGGTGGCATAAATAGTTGAGCATTCAGCTACCACTAAAAAGGTTGGCAGTTCAAATCCACCCAAAATCTCCTCAGAAGAAAAGTGTTGGCAGTTTACTTCCAGAAAGTTATAGGCATTGAAACCCTATGAAGCACAGTGCTACTCTATAGCACATGAGGTTGCCATGAGTTGGCATTGATTCAACTGATTCTGGTTATGGTTGGGTTATTATGGTAGAATAAGAAGCAATTAAGTTTTGAAGTTAGAGATGTGGATTGTAATCCTGCCTCTATGATATATAATCTTTTTTGTTGTTGTTGTTAAGTGCCATCGAGTCAGTTCCGACTCATAGCGACCCAGTTAGGGTTTCCAAGGAGCAGCTGATGAGTTTGAACCAATGACCTTGCAATTCAAACCAACCATACGATCCAGTGGTTATCCTACAGCACCACACAAAGACTCCATGTAATCTTTGAGGCCTGTGAAAAGCGCCTAATCCCTTTGATCCTCAGCATCCTTCTCTGTAAAATAGGAAAATGTATACAAAGCACCCACTATAATGCCAGTAGAGTCCTGGTGTGACACTATAGGACAAGCACTGGACTTCTAACTGCAGGTCAGTGGTTCAAACCCACGAGCTGATCCTTAGAAACCCTATACAGGGTCTCTATGAGCTGGAACCAACTGATCAGCATTCAACATGCACTCATAAATGTCTGAAAAAGTCTTGGAGTTTCCATGCATTAAGTGGTGGTCTACTAATGGAGTCCTGGTGTGGCACTGTGGGCTAATGAGTCAGACTGCAAAGTCATTTGAACTACAAGATTCGTGGTTCAAGCTCACCATCTGCTCCTTGGAAACCCTATACAGCGTCACTATGGGTCGGAATCAACTTGACGGCACTTAACAACAACAACAACAACAACTAATGGAAAGACTGGTGTTCCAAAGCTGCCAGCTGCTCCATCTGCTTCTATAAAGTTCTATGAAACCCTTTTTAAGCAGTTCCAATCTGTCTTATATAGGGGTCGCTACGAGTCAGAATTGACTTGACAACAGTGCATTTGATTTTGGTTTAATAAGTCTAACACAGAGCAGGCAAAGCAAGAAGGGCTTCCAAGGCTGTAAATCTTTACTGGAGCAGAAAGCTTCAACCTTGTGGTCAGCAGTTAAGTGATTTTCCTAACATGCCACCAGGACTCCTTTTTAACCCTACCAGTTAATAAATAAACATTCAATCCATTGGTGATTGAAACATTAAAATATTTTGGAATGTCTCATGGTAAAACACCCACTCTTGTGCTTCTTACATCTCTTCCACTTAGTTTTCAGTATGGCTGTTCATGCCCTGGATCTGATCCTATGGACTAGACACAGTAGTATATAAAATCGTTTTCGAGGCAAAGTGAAGCAGCTACCATTTAAAATATTTTTGTTTTAAAGAGAAACTTGAGTTTCCATTTACTTTGTACTTTCTAACAATGTTGACTTGGTCTGAATTGGTCTCCACTTTCCCTCTCCACCCAGGCTGTCTACCATTACGACTATATACGCAGTGTCAGAGGCAAAGTTGCTCCAACCACCAAAACTGTGGATCTGGACCGTGCCCTGCATGCTTACAAGCTCCAGAGTGAGGTGAGCAGTGGGAACCTAACATCTGGTAGAAATCTAGGCTGGAGAGGCCATTGGCATTTGTTGAAGCGAACTTGGCTTGGACAGCTTCTCAGCTTGATGTCGTAATACTATTCTGTTCTAATGAGTTGGGAAAGAAGAAGAAGAAGAAAAAACAAAACAAAACAGAGCCTAGACTGTCTTCCCTCTTTGCTGCCAGGATTCTCCCATTAAGCAAGCAATAAGTATTTTTTAAGCAATATCTGCAAGTTAAAAAAGAGGAGAGAAAATCTACTATCTTTATTCTTAGAAACCTTAAAATCAAGTTGGGAAAGACAAGGCGCATAATCATAAAAGGCTACTCACAATAACAAGAAATACAGCGAGAATTTGCTGTTAGAATCCATAAAAGAAAGCATCTAAACCCAATCCACATATACCCTATTCTGTACGAGCCAAGGTGCTGTTGGGTCTCTTGTAATGCCATTCTCTTGTGTTGAATGTTAAAAGTAATTTGTTTGTTTGTTTTTTTAACATTTTAAATACTCTTCTTAATCCTGTGGTCCCTTGAAAGACACAGCATTTAAGGTCACAGACAGAGCTCCTATTTGCTTTTGCCCTGGATATGAGCATTGTGGTCTTTCTATAGTTTGGTATCAAGATACTGTGTTTATGTGTGTATACTGGGTGGGGGTATTCCAAATGTGTGCCTGCCTCAGGGATCGGTGATGTCTTAATATCACCTAAGAGTGGTGTTAAGGACAGAAACGGCACTTGGTTGTCTGCTTTGTCAACTTTCCCCAAATTTCTGCTAGGTGCCATGTAGTCCATTGGCCATATGGAAACATATAAGGCTTACTGCCTATAAACCCCTTCATCAGTTCCTCTTGTTTTTCTGAAACAACAGGTAAAGAGTAGTCTTAATTCTTAGAATTTATTTACTTTCTTCCTGAAATCCGTTCAGGGAGCATGAGCATTTAAGCATCTGATAAAAACTTAACATGGGCTAGATGTGGTTTTTTTAATACCAATTGGTCATTTGATGCCAGATGTCATTAAACCACCTCTTCCTCATTCCGGCAGAACCTGTACCGACGATCTGGCTTGCGCTACCTGCCCACTGGATATCGACTTCCAATCGATACCCCTCACTTCAATCACAACAAGAACACTCGCTACATGAGCAGTTATGTGAGTGGTTTTCTCTACATCAAGATGGAGTGGGGTGGGGCGCTAATATTCATTAGTAACCTATTCTCATCTCCTCTCCCTGTATCGCATCCTGAACGTCCAACATGATATCATAATGGGAAGCAGAACCTTTTCTAGGAGTACTATGAAAGTGGTAGTTCAGTGGTGCCTGCGTAGCCCAGTGGGCTAGGATAAGATGTTCATAGGATTACACCTGCATGGACTAGTTACCTTGAGTCAGAGCCCATGGCTGCCATGATGCCTCTACTTTTGCTGGCCTAAACATTGCAGCATGCCAAACCATACAAAGCCATGTACCAAAAGAGCAACTATCACATTGCTTCTGATATATGACAGTAGTTGTCATCTTCCTTCTGCTATGTTCATATAATGTCACCATGTTCCTTTGAAATGAAAAGACTTCTTTCTGATACTTATTTCACCACTTACTCTCTGTGCCAGGTTCATAAGGGTTGATAGGCTTTCCTTACTATTAGTCTGCCTAGGTGCTGGTTTTCATAAGAACCATCCCTACTTTTTAAAAAACCTAGTTGGGACTTGATGCTTTTATTCCATGGATAAAGCCCAGATAAAATTTGGCTATCCCATTGACCCTATCCTGCAGACTATACCTACCAACCAGCCATCATCTGAAGAGTAAGCTTGCCCTTCCATCCTTCCCTTGGTTGGTATTGTTGTTGTTGTTAAGTGCCGTTGAGTTGGTTCTGACTCATAGCAACCCTGTATAGGGTTTCAGAGGAGCGGCTTGTGAGCTTGAACCATCACCTTGTGGTTCAAATGGACCTTGCAGTCCAGTGCATAATCTCAAACCTACCCACCAGGCACAGTCTAATAGACTGTGGCCTAATAATGCATTTCTTATGGTACTGAGTCATGAGTCTAACAATATATCATTTTATTAATCTGTCTAGAACACCATTCATCAGAATTTGAAAGATTTTCTTGTTCCTACTCTGCATTTCTTAATTTCTTAGCTACATTGGAGTTAAAAAAATTTTTTTCCTTATATTCTGTATACTTATGTGCAAAGAAATTTTATCTAAACAAAATTGAGTTTTACTCCTTTCTGGATATGACTTTATTAGCCAACAAATGTTTTTCAAGACTTGGATTAATATTGAAATAATGTTCATGGCTTCTCTTTATGCTGAATGTTGAGCAAGTTTCCAATGGAAGTGACACTGCTTTCCTATTGGAGAAATTTAATACTGCTGTTTACCCATCATTGATTTCACCTGACGTTGTTTTTTGCAGTTCAAGTACAAAGAAGTTTATGAGCACATCAAGGCAAATGGGTATACACTTGGCCCCAACGATGTTCCATTTGTCAATGTCCGGAGGGTCAACAATGTTACCAGTGAGGTACTGTGAATACTAATTCTGTGAGAGACAGTGAATCTCAAAGCCATGACTGTGTTTGAAATGCATTAAGAATTAATTGTATTTCAGCTGTAAACTTAACAAGGTGGGGTTTTTTTTGTCACCATTTTTGTACTGATATACTTTGACCATTGTTTTCTATCATTTATAATGCCATCAAGTCTCATGAGTCAGTTCCATGTTTTATAACACAATTTTTTTCCAAAGAAAAACAATCCCTATTTTGACATATGTAATAAAAAATCTTTAATTTTATTGACTCATGATCATTTGTTCCACACAAGCCATTGGTTTGTATGTCTGATCCCGCTAACTAACCATTTGATAGAAAGTGGAAGACTTGGTGCTCAGATTCTTCATCTTAGCAAAATAAGTGTCTTTATCTCCTTTTTTCCTGGTCTCAATCACTTTTCCTGTCTCCAAACTTTCCTTCCATGGCTCTTTATGTAAAATATCTTATTGTTAATTAATCAGTAGATGCCCTGATTATCTTACAATAAAGTCCTGCAATGGTTTTTCCTCCAATGCAGAGACTGTATAGAGAACTATATCACAAATTGAAAGACAAGATCCACACAACTCCCGACACGCCTGAAATCCGCCAAGTCAAAAAGACACAAGAAGCTGTCAGTGAGGTGGGTATTTTCTTAGTGGGAAGGGAGGACTATGAACCCTGGGATGAATGTCAACCATTTGGTCTCTAATGTGTGTGTTTCTTGTTTTGTTTGTTGTTGTTGTTTTCTTCAGTTGATCTACAAATCAGACTTCTTCAAGATGCAGGGTCACATGATATCCTTACCATATACACCGCAAGTGATTCATTGCCGCTATGTGGGAGACATCACCAGCGATGTAAGTGTCTCAAAAACATCTTTCCGGTGGGGTCACACCTTACCAAGAGTCAGGCTTGCTCTCAGTTTTTAAGCCAACTAGTGCTCTTTGGACACCCTTTTCCACTGAACACTTCCAAACTGGGTGCACTTCTGGGGGGTAAAATAGTATGGAAGCCATGAAGTCAATTCCAACTCAAGGTGGCCCTGGTGTGTCAGAGTAGAACCATGCTCCATAAGATTTTCAATAGCTGCTTTTTCAGAAACGTAGTGCTTGGCCTTTCTTCCAAGTTGCTCTTGGGTGGATGGGAATGACTAATCTTTTCATTATAGGCAAGCCTGTTAGCCATTTGTACCACCCAGGGTTCCAACATGGAAAACAGAATACTGCATTTCACCAGCTATGAAAACAGCATAAAGAAGACCAATTGGAAAATTAAAGAATTTCTAACCACTGGTCCACATTCAACACTGAGTCATTACCTTGCTCTCTAATTGGTTTCTGTCCCACATCATGTTTAGTATCTTTTTGCTTTCCAGTCCTACTCTCAGCCCCTCTAGAAACTTCTTAGTGCCAACATTTTCAATCCACCTTGGACATTTTATTCTCCTAAAACACCCTTCCATCCACTCTCTGGTTCTTCTCTAACCAATATTATAGTAAAATAACAGCAGAGTTCTCTCCTCAGCACAGAGTTCAGAGATTTCAATGTAAGAAAAATAACAACCACTCTAATTTATTTAAGGGCAAGTAATCTAAGATGGGAGACCTAGTGTGGTGCTGTAGGCTACTCACTGTACTGTTGACCACAAGGACAGTGGTTCAAACTCACCAGTCACTCCTTGGATACCCTATACATGATTGCTATGAGTTGTAACGGACTCAATGAAACTTAACAACAACAATCTAAGATGAGGAGACTTTGGTTTGCTTACTTTGAGCTGCAATCAGGAAAGATAGATCTCTAGACAAAGACCTCATTGTTGGTAAAGTAGAGGGTCAGAGAAAAGGAGGAAATCCCTCCATGTGATAGCCAAAGCAATGGACTCAAACATGGCAACAATAGTGAAGATGGCCTAGGAATGGGCAACATTTACTTCTATTATCCATAAATTAATTCACTGTGAGTCAGGGCCAACTTGATGGCACTTAGCAAAAACCGCAAACTAAAACTACAAGATGGGTATATAGAACCAAAATGAAAGATATATATGTATTTTTTTTAATGTCACTCCTTTGTTTTTTTTGTTCTTGATTTATTTTTGCTTATAGCCAGTCATGTTTCTGATTTTTATCTGCAGATTAAATACAAAGAGGACTTGCAGATGCTAAAGGGCCTGGGTTGCTTTCTGTATGACACTCCTGACATGGTCCGCTCCCGGCACCTGCGGAAGCTGTGGGTAAGTGTACATCTTCAGAGTCCACAATACCTCCACACAATGATCCATGCATCCCATCACCAGCTGCAGAGTGTTGGGCAGAGTGAATCTGTACCTGCAGCTGCTTTTAGGGGATCATCTCCCTTTAGCCCTCCAGAAGTGGTCATGAGTCACTCAAGATGATCTGCTTCCTGTAAAAGAAGTATATTTGTTAAATGACAGTGATTTTTGTTTCTGCATAGAACAAATGGAAGAGTTCCTTATACAAACCAGCTATTTGGAAGCAAATGTATGACTAGGAGTCATTTCTATGATTCATCATCTTGTATTTCTGCTGTTGTTGTTTGTTTGTTTGTTTTCTTTTAGTCTAATTACGTGTACACTTATAATGCAAAGAAGACGCGTGACAAATACAAAGTGGTGCTCGACACACCAGAATACAGAAAAGTGCAGGAACTGAAGACACACCTGAGCGAGGTAAGGACACTTTGCCTGCCACTACAAATCAGCCAACTTGACCAAGAAAGACTGAATTACTTAAAAAAACAAAAGATTTTTAGTTCCTCTAGTCATCATTTGGAGTCCTGGTGTGGCACTGTAAGATAAGCACTGGACTGCTAACTGCAAGGTCAGTGATTCAAACCCACCGGCTGCTCCTTGGAAACCCTATATAGGGTCTCTGCGAGTCGGAACCAACTCAGAGGCACTTGAAAACAACAACAGTGATCATTCATCAAGCTGTAACAATGGATAAATTATTTCCTATCCCTGAGCTAAGCTATGAAGTGGCCTCTATATCTGAGCAGGTCTATTGGCATCCCTTTGCCTACATATGTCTATTTTGTCCCGTTTTGGTAAAAGGATGCTATTGATACGTGTCCTACCCATGGCTAGGATTGCTGAGAGTTTACATGATAAGTGGTTTTGCAGATTAGAAAAGCGCTCTGCCTTCAGAAAACCTAAGATGTTCAAAGAATTGCTACGGGTCAGAACCAACTCAATGGCGATGGATGGCTTTGGTTCTGCCCTCTATCCAAACTGGATTTCTTATGTTAAAACTCACTCTCATAAAGCAAGAACCCAAACTGTGGTTGTACCCTGTTTAAAAGTCTTCGGTGACACCCTGCTGCCCCTGCAGTAAATTCAAAACTACTTTCGAAGCTACTTAGTTTCATTGTCTCCTGCCCACCTGGCACTGAGGCCTCACATCTCTCTGCCAGCTACAAAAAAAAGTTTGGTAATTGAAAGTGTTTATTCTCATCCCTGAGATAATTTTATTTTTGGCTATCTGGCTTGAGGATTTTTTTTTAATGTTTTATTGTGAATTATGTGATAGTTTACATGGGAGAACATTAGTTTTACATTCATCCTATTGTATATCATTTCATTGCCATGGTTACAATCCCCTCCATGCATCATCAACCAACCAAAGGGTATACCCTGCAAGTCTGCCTCCCCAACCTCCACCTCGTCATCAGCACACAGCCCCTCCCTCTCTGGATCTAAAGTCCCCAGCTGCTCCATCTCTCCAAGTCATCGTCTCTGCCTCCATCTCAGGCATCACTGCTTCTCTGGGTAGGGTCCCGCTCTCTGCTCTTCTCCCTTCATGGTCCCAGGGACCTCAGCTCCTAAACTGCAAAGTTAATCACTCCCCTCCTTGCTACAAAACATCTACCTTTACATTTCCAACCCTCACAAGCTGTCCTGATAACAATTATTCACTATTGTATCACAAGAGACCTATCCACATTTCCTTTCATCAGCCCCACCTAGACAGATTGGATACTACTCAGTGGAGATTCTATCTTCCTCCATGCCCACTGGATTTAGGTTTCCTCTTGAAAGCTTATAAGCCAGTCACTTCTTGCCTTTGTAGCACCCCCACTTTGGATAGCCAATGTCTAAGTGGCCCATCCCTGTCTACTCTGTGTATGGAGGGGGTGGGAATGATCCTTGCTGTAAAGATTTGTTCCCTCTTTTGAGCTACTGCATCCCTAGTGTAGGTCAGGTTCATCAAATTGTATTCGATTACTCTTTTTTTCCTCTTCTTTTTTCTTCTAGTTGAGTTCTGATCATCCAGTCATTGAAGCCAGATCAAGTGGGTATTATCTGAAAGTGTGGGTGTTTTTGTGCATATGCCCTCTCTTCTTATCAGCTGGATGCTTCACTCTCCACTCTAGTCCTCTGTGACTATGTCACTGACTCTGGGCTCAAGAGTCCCCAGGTCTTGCCACACTGCTGGCTAACCAGGTCTCCCTCAGGTTCACAGGGGTCTAATGAACGTTGTAGGGCTTAGCTCGCCACTTCATTGCTATTTTTCCCTCACTTCGTTTTATCAGTGACTTATGTAGTCATCAATCAGAGTGTGTATTCCCATTGAGTCTTAGTCTTGGAAGGAGGGGTTGTTCTGAGGAGACCCAACCACTTGCCTTTATGTCTCCTGGGCGAGCAACTTGCTTGTTCTTGTAGTAATCAGTCTGTCTGCCTATATTGTTTTGTATTTTTCCTGTCATCTTTCTTTCAAAGAAGCATCTTCTGTTCTTCTAGCCACTCCAGGCTGGTCTGCCCATCCTTTCAAGTGGAAATTTCACACCTCTGAAGATTCTGGATGCTGTTCAGGATTCCACCTATAGTCTTATGTAATGCAGAGGCTCCACAGGAAACTTCCTTCACTGGGCACGTTGTAGCCCCATTTTAGGTATTCCAGTCAGTTATAGGCAGAAGATGGACTTACAAGCTTTCTGTGATGATATTTCTGGCTATTCCTTTCTCTCCCCCTCAGTGTCTATTTTATAATGATATGCAAAGGAAACCAAGATTCAAAAGATAGCCAAGCATCTTAACATTATTTCCCCCCTTTTCCCCAGTCCAACCATGTCTCAATCCCTGTATCCCTGAGCCCTGTTGTTCCAAGGTTGTGCATACATCATTCTTTATCTCTGTCCCACTTAGCCCATGCAAAACTGCCTAATTGTTCTCCCATCCGCTTTGTACTTCCGTTCCCCTCTCCCTTCTTGTATATTGCCCCCCTTCCCAGCACCCAAAATATCCTGTGTCTGTTCCCTGTCCGGTGCTCCACCTTCCCCTCCCTCCCCTCACCCCACTCCCCACATCCCAGCAACCAGGAAAGAATCCCCACCCCCACCTTTAGTATGGATTATTTTTCTTAGTCTTTCACAGTAGTGGTCCTATGCAGTATTTCTCCTTTTGTGACTGACTAATTTCACTGGGTTGAGAATTATTTGAAACTTTAATTTCTTCTCTTCCAATTTCTATTGGGATTTTGTGCATATTATACATCATTACCAACTTCCACATGGGTGTTTCTCAGTGGTGCAGTTTCTTCCACACTTGCCTGACCATAAGAACTTTAGTAGTCTTCACTTGATCCAAGCCAGGATGTAGAAGATCTGGGGTAGGAACTGAAAATCTGTTTTTAATAAGAACCCAGTAGATTTTTAGAATCAGGAATATTTGAAAAACACCAACTTAGTAAAAAATGTTGATGCCATAAAGTAGTTCAAGTTATTGACTTTTAAACTAACTGCCTTTGTACTGTGTTGATTGTTGGCATATATAGATTTATAGTATTTTAAAGTATACTGAAGCAAGGATGTTGTCTCAAGAAGCCTAAGCAATGCATACCTATGTTAAGGAGGAATATAGCACAAAGGTAATTATAGAAACCTCATTAAACAGTTGGATTTTCATCCCAAATTTACTTCCAGTTAGTTGTGTGACTTTGTATAATTCACCATGTCAGCACTTGAGTTTCCTGTGCTAGAGAATTGGGCTAGATGGGGAGTTGGACTCCTTTTAACTATAATATTCTGTGAGTTTGTTGATTTGATTTATGAAAAATCCAACCTGGAAGAAACATCACATTTTCATTCAGTTTATCTCTTTTCTTTCAATAGTAATACCAAAAAACAGTCCCAAGAGGATGAGCCACAATTTATTTTAACCTGGATTTGCATATAACTTATGTTTAAAGAAATGAACATGTGCACATATATGCATATTTGTAATTTTTTTTTTTTTAACATACCATCAGTTCTGTTGGCAGTTAGATCTCTGATTAGAATTTATCTGTGCTTCATTTGGTTTCTCTAGTTTTCTGTAATCTACTAAAGTCCCTTTAACAATTATTGTTGTTGTTATTAAGTGCCATCAAGTCCAAGTCAGTTTTGACTCATGATGACCCTGTATTAGGAGCATCTGGTGGGTTTGAACCACCAACCTTTCGGTTAGCAGTCTAGTAGTTACCCTACAGCATCACACCAGGAATCCCAACATTTATTAGAAGACAGCATTTATAAGGAGACAACTATTTTTCAGGCCCTTTGTCTAAGCACACTGTGCTAACAGGATGATAGAACTGAACCCCAGCACTAAATAAGCAAATAGTGTGGAAGAAGAGACAGACATCAATATGATCAGCATTATATTATAAGAACAGTCAAGAAAATATGAACTCTAGAAGTTTCCCAAGCAGATAAGAGGGAGAAGAACATTCTAGTTGGAAGGGGCAGTTTATACAAATCAGCATACGAGCTTTTGACAGTGAAAGTTATTTTTGAAAAGTTATTTTTGAACATTGAGAATCGAGGCAAGAAGTATAGACAGGAGTCAAGTTTTGTAGCTTCCTACTTGGAATCCTAGAGTGGCACCGTAGGACCAGCACTGGACTGCTAACCACAAGGTTAGTAGTTCAACACTACTAGCCACTTTTGAAAACACTATTCAGGGAATTTATGAGTCAAAACTGACTCAACAGCACTTAACAACAACAATAACACCTGGCTATATTAGTGGAGTGACTCCTTTGGGTAAGTACTGGACAGGAAACCACAAAGTTGGCCGTTCAAGCCCACCAGCCTCTCCATGGGAGAAAGATGAGGCTTTCTGTTCCCACAAAGATTGATAGCTTCCGAAACCCTATATAAGGTCACTATGGATTGCAACTGCCTTGCTGGTACTTAACAATAACAATAACAATAACTTGGCTATATTAGTCATCTTGAACTTGATGAGAAAAGAAGAAAAGAAGCTGAGCTAGGCAGTAGCAGTGGGAACAGAAAAAAGGGGACGTATTTAAGGGCTATCAGGAAGTGAAAAGCCCTGATTTTGTGACCATTTTGATGTGGAGGATGAAAGAAAAGGAGTCTAGAATGACTCCTCACATTTTCTGGACTGGGAATCTGAGAGATTAAAGAGCCTTTTAACAAAATAGAGAAAATAGGAGAAGAAGCAAATTTTAGGTAGGGATAAGGAGTAATATGAATAATTCAATGGTGAGCATGATGAGTCACCCAAGTCTGCACTTGGAGAAAGTGGGGCATGTAGATTTGGAAGTTGTCAGTCTGAAAGAGATGGCATGGTTGAAATAATCCATTGGAATGAGGTGACGGAGCCAAGCCTTAAATCCTAGGTAATGGCAGTTTGGGGAGGACTGGAAAGATAACAGAACTGTAGTGGAAGATTAAGGAGTGCCCAGGAAGATTGTGTGGCCCTGTGGGTTAATGTGCTGGACTGCAAAGTCACTTTGAACGAGAAGGTCGGTGATTCAAGCTTACCAGCCACTCATTGGAAACCCTATTCAGGGTCTCAATGGGTCAGAACTGACTCGATGGCACTTAACAACAGGAAGATTGGAGGCCTCCCAGAGGAGAATGGTGGAATGGCAGGCAGAGAAGGGCGTTTCAGGAAGGAAATGCAGAGGCATTCACCAGATCTGGCTCTCATAAAACTTACGGTAACCTTAACAAGTGTGGCTTCATTGGAGTGGTTGAGTGGAAGCCAAACTTTCTCCTTAAGACATTAATCAAAAGAGAAAACACAGAGAACAAAACATAGACTGCTTGGCTGCACAAGAAAGAGATTACGTCATTAACTTGAAGCAAAGGGCTAATGGAGAGACTTGAGTCTTTGGGCAGATAAAGGGTGAAAGCTGGAAGAACAAGAAGAGTTGGAGATATGGAGGGGAAAGGGTTAATTGCTGGAATAGAGTCCAAAAACAAACAAACAAGAACAGGACCAAAATACCTCAGGAGATCCGAATCATGGACAAGGCACAGAATGTCTCTAACTTTGTTGTTGTTATTAATGCCATCAAATTAGAGACATTAACTCTATAGTTCTATTGCCTCTCCTATTGTTAGGTGAAAAAATAAAAAGGGGGCATACAGGTAAATAAATTATTAGATTGTTGAGCAGAAACTGTGATTGTTGCAGTGGGACAGCCCTGGCTTTTTCTCTGAAGTAAGCAATAAAGGCATCTGTAGAGAACATAAGATAGCTATAGCACAGAAATGATGGTGATGACTTGTTTTATGTTCAGCTCGTGTACAGAGCAACGGGCAGGAAGCAAAAGTCAATCTTCACTTCAGTTCCTGACACTCCTGATCTTTTAAGAGCCAAGCGAGGGCAGAAGCTTCAGAGCCAGGTAAGGTCATTTACTGATGAAGACTCAGAAACCTGGCACGCCGTTGTCATGCATGTGCCTGGCTACTCCTGGCCAGCATCAGACTCTCATACTTGCTTGTCCTTAATGCAGCATAATGCCCTTTCCCTCCAGCACTTCATGAAGCTGTTCTCTGAACTAAAGCTATGCTTTACATGAACAAATGATGTTCTGTTTTCTAAGTGTTATCTAACTTAGATGAGTAGTCTGTGGACTCCAGGTAGTGAAAGGTCATTGTTTGGTACACAACACAGGACTTGTTTGTTGTCCACAAACAAATGAAAGCACATTTCATGCATTCAGGCAAAATTAAAAAGTGATATGTTGAGAACTCTTAATATAACTGTCCCATTCTTCTGCCACCATTTGTTTAGTCATATGGCTTCAGACTGCACCATACGCACCAGAACAAATATTGGTTAGCTGAAATGTATGTATGTGTTTCCAAATGTGAGATACATAGAGAGAGAAATGAACAGAAATACATACGATATTTAACAATAAAAAACCTACACACACAACAAAAACAGGATCACAGGTAGACACCCTCTCCCATTTAAGGGCTAGAAATGAATGAAGAAGACTGAACATTCAATGTTTCATCTCATTTCCTTTTTCTGATTATTTAGTATCTGTATGTTGAACTTGCCACCAAAGAGAGGCCTCATCACCATGCTGGCAACCAGACCACAGCCTTGATGCATGCTAAAGAAGTGAAGGACATGGTCAGCGAGGTAAGGTGGGAATTCAGTAATGAAACACGGGTTAAAGGGAAAAAAAAAATCCTTTGTTAAAAAACCATCACCTACTGGTTACAAATCAGGCTGCGAACCTTAAGGTCAGCAGTTCGAAACTACCAGCTGTTTCATGGGAGAAAGATGAGGCTTTCTGCTCCCGTAAAGATTTACAGCCTCGGAAACCCTGCACAGGGTTGCTATGGGTCAGAATCCACTAGACAGTACTTAACAACAACAACTTCCTCTGATCAGAGAACCCATGACAATAATTTGTGATTAGCATAAGCAAAACCCAGTAGACAACATTCTTTTCAAGACTATGATGCATTGTGCTCCTCAGACAGATAGTGTGACTGGTTATGAGTCCCAGGGATGAAAATGTTTGAATTTAAGTTTGTCTTTCTCTTTTATTTCATTCCTTAGAAAAAGTACAAGATTCAATATGAAAAGATGAAGGACAAGTACACCCCAGTTCCAGATACACCAATCCTCATCAGAGCCAAGAAGGCTTACTGGAATGCCAGTGATGTATGCATCTCTTTTTTTCTTTCTTTTAATGATAGGGAGAGGTGAGGTTGAAGTACCTCAGAAAGTGCATAAGATGTTACATCATAGCCATAGTACAAAGTCCCACAAAATGGATCAGGGAAGAAAAAACAAATCCAAAACAGGCCTGGCAAAGACAGTACTTAAAGATGCTAAAGGCTGCTGTTCTTCTTGTTGCTCTTCTGGACAAACAATGTGATCCTTGATCCTTCCCTGTAATTCTTTGGAAAAGTTTCATAGTAATTCTTGTCAACTGATTTTTACTTATCTATAAAATCATGGACTTGAAGTCAAACATAGATTCAAATCCTGATGCTGCCCTTTTTCTGCTACATATAATTTGCCTGATTTTCTGAGACTTTGATTTCTTATATGTGGAGTGAGGGTAATTGTGAAACTTATCACTTCAAGGTTGTCTTTGGATATTAATTTGAACCAAGCTTAATCTATGCCACCACATTATGAAGGTGGTCACACAGTGAAATTTGTCTCACTGGACAGCCTCGTCCCTGGCTTAGTCAGTGCCAATACTGATGCTGTTAAGCATTAAAATAATCCAGGGTAACAAGGGACTATTTTGCACCTGGCACTCAGCTCAGCATATCTATCCCGGCTTTCCCCACATGTAAAGGTAAGTGAGCATATGGAATTATCTACCTGAAAAACAAAGCTACAAACTCAAAGAAAAGACATTTTTCATTATGTATTTGCTCAAAAAGGAAAGATCTTTTGATTGAAATTGAAAACACACTGCTCAGCGAAGTATCCATCTTGTGTAGATGGGATGAATCTGTCGTGATATTCCTAGGTTAAAGTCAGAATTGTCTTCTCTTGAATATCACAAAGATTAAGACCATAATAAAGTAAAATTGCAGGACTACTTTGTACAGAAGGCATCACCTAAATCTTTCTCCTCTCTCCATACACATTACTATTTCTTGGCCACAATGAGCTTATATTTATTGGTTTGTTTCTCTACTCAAACCACCCTTTTCTTTGTTTTATATTTAAATAAATATTTTCTTTTAAAAGTTGTAAATTTACAGAAAAGTTGCAAAGATAGTACATACACATACGTATATCCCACACCCAATTTCTCCCATTGTTAGCACCTTACTTTACCATGGTACTTATCACAACTAATAAACAAATATTGATACATTATTATTATTAACTAAACATCATGCTTTATTTGGATTTCATTAGCTTTTCCCAAATTTCTTTTTTTCTCCCCCAGGATCTGAATAAGATTTTAAGTCTGGGGAAACCTAAGAAAGTTCAAGCTTAAAAGCGCTCACTTATCTAATTTAGTAGTTTTTCAAAAGGAACTTTGGTGTTATTGTGGGTTATCCATTGGGCTGCTAACCACAAGATCAGCAGTTCAAATCCACTAGCTGCTCCTTGGGATAAAGATGAGGGTTTCTGCTCTCGTTAAGATTTATAGCCTCAGAAACCCTATATAGGGTTGATATGAGTTGGCACCGACTCAATGGCACACAGCAGCCATTTTTCATCATCCATGTGTCTTTTCTCTTTCCAGCTACGCTACAAAGAAACATTTCAAAAGACCAAAGGGAAGTACCACACTGTGAAGGATGCTCTGGACATTGTTTATCATCGTAAAGTCACAGATGACATCAGTAAAGTATGTCTCTAAATACTTCTATCTGTGTTGGATAATTCATCCACCATCAATTGTTTTGGGAATCCTAGTGTGGTGCTATGAGATAAGCATTGGACTGGTAACTGCAAAGTCGGCAATTCGAACACACCAGCTACTCTGGTATTTTTCTATTAACTTTAGGCAAGACTTTACAGCTGCCTTTGTATTTTGCCATAGGTGAAGTACAAGGAGAACTATATGAGCCAACTGGGAATCTGGAGGTCCATTCCTGATCGCCCAGAGCATTTCCACCACCGGGCAGTCACCGACGCAGTCAGTGATGTGAGTCTTGAAATCTTCTGTCATTATGCAAGAATCCATGTTCACAAATAAGCTATAAAATCAAACCCTGCATAAAAACTTAACTAGATTTTAGATCTTGTGTATGGATGTTTAAATCACAAACTTCAATTAATTACTGAGTCAATGTCAACTTGGGTGAGAGAGCAATATATTCAAATGTATAAACCTTATTTTTCATCTAATAATATCATCTAGATGATATCGTATTGGATAGTTAGAAATTATATTGCTCATCAAGGAAATAGCCTACTTTTGATAAACTGTTCAAATTTATCAGAAGTAGACTATTGAACCAATTAAGGTACATAATAACAATGATCTTTTTTTTATGTATGAAAATACAGGGCTAATGATATACTTTCTAGGAAAGTATGCCTGTTAAGTTTAAATTGCTTTAACTAGTATTAAAACAAAGCGTTCTGCACATAATATAACAACATGGCATAAAATGGGCAGAATCAGTATTACTGGGAACAACAACTTCTACATAATGGTTTTAATACTTTATTGTTTCATGTAGTTCAGGAGTTAATGCTCCGATTTGCTTTAGTTGTCTAGATCCTAAACTACTATTTGGAGATAGGTTTTTAATATTTTTTTGATGATGTTCTTCTTCTCCCAGGTAAAATATAAAGAAGATTTGACCTGGCTGAAGGGAATTGGTTGCTATGCCTACGATACCCCTGACTTCACTTTGGCTGAAAAGAACAAGACTCTATACAGCAAGGTATATCTGCTCAAGGAGAATGGCATGGTCACTCAGATACACTTTCACCACACAGAGGAGTAGCCGTCTACATTTTCACCCCTGTCCTCACTTTTGGGCCCTATGATTGTAATAAATACTCAATTTTTCATGCTTCTTAGAAATTTCTTTACATGAATTTGATGCTGTCTCAGTACAACGTCACATGAATCTTCTGAAATTCCTCTCTGCTTACATGAGGGGACTTTTAAAAAGTTCATGGAAAAAAATGGAGTTGAAAGATGATGGACACTCCTTTGTGTGTTATGGAACAATTTATCCTGTCAGAGCTAATAAGTTAGCAAACATAATAAAGTGGGGTTGTTTTGTTCCACAATCATGATGTATAACTTGTGACATATCAGTTCATATTTATGGGCCTCATTTTTCTATTTACAAAAGCAAAGCAAATAGATTATCTTCGTTTGAGCTCGAAAACAGGGACCGGAAAACTTTTTCTGAAAAGGACACGATAGAAAATGTTTTAGGTTTTGTGGGCTACATTCAGTCTATTGCATATTCTTTCTTTGATTATGTTTTACAACCTCTTAGAATTGTAAAAACCATTCTTAGCACATGGAACTTTACAAACAGATGGTAGCTTCAATTTAGCCTGTGAGTCATAGTCAACACTTGTTCTAAAAATTGTGATTATCTGATTACTTACTGGAAAACTATATTCAAATAAATAGACTAAAAACTTTCTTCAAGGGTACATTTATAAGTACCCGCAAGGTTGTTTTTAAAAAAAAACAAAAAAAACCCTGCAATAATAGAACCAAGAAGAAATTAGTAGAAGCCTTAGGAGACAGAGTAATATCAAATACCTGTTCTATGAATGAATTAATTTACACAATTATATGATAAGTGATGTGTCACGTTCTTAGGATCATCACTGCCTGTAAAATAATCACTTTCTATTTTCTCTAGTATAAGTATAAAGAGATATTTGAAAGGACAAAGTCTGATTTCAAGTATGTTGCTGACTGTCCAATCAATAGGCACTTCAAGTATGCAACTCAACTGATGAATGAGGTACGTATGATCTGACCCATTGAAACTTATATGATTAAAACCAAAATGACTAGAAAGCTATCCTAAGTGTTGATTGCTTAGATTTGGGAAGACCCTACAATATCACCATCCAATGTGCTTTACCAAAACCATGAATAAGAACCAATGAAGGGATCTCCCAGTGCAGTGTCAGAGCTCCCTGCAGTCATCAGTACCTTTTTGCATTGACACAGGGTTTCATAACTCTTTCAGTGAGGGGACCAAGGACATACAGGAGTTTACTATCAGCTGAACTCCTAAAATACTGTCAAAAGTTGAGAGGCCCACAAGCTCAAAAGCATTTTAATAGCTCCTACTAAGGCCCCGAAATGATAGTGATTGTTTGCATCACCCCTAAAAGGATGGCTGAAGGATCTCTGGTAGCATAGTGGTTACGAATTGGGCTGCTCAAAACTACCAGCTATTCTGCAGGAGAACAATGAGGCTTTCTGCTCCCGTAAAGATTTATAGCCTCGGAAACCCTGTTCAGGGTCGCTGTGAGTCGGAACCGACTCCACGGCACAATAACAACAACAACAAGGATGGCTGAGATTCATGTGTGCTTTATGTTTAATTTCCTATTTTTCAAGGATTTATATAAGGTCAAGAGCAATGTTAGAAAATTAGCAAAACCTATCTGAAAGTGAAAATATAGTCAGTAATATATTTGCTTCAGTACATGCCTCTGTTGTTTTTTAATTTAACTTAGTTTATTTTCATTAGATTTCCAGAGTGGATGACACCGAAGAATCAGTCAGTAATTTCCTAGGAAGACAGACTCGATACATATTTTTCTGTTTTTCTCTTTCTCAAAGGGTTTCCAAGTCTCTTTTATAATCAAGTAAATTAATTAGACTTAGGAGACTCTTAGAATTTGCCCATGAATAGTCTGACACTACTTATGCTTTTGATTCTCATAGCTCTAGGTTGTAAGCCTGTGTTTGTCCATAGCTTATTTTAAGTACAAGGTAAGATGCCATAATATCTAACATTACTCGTGGCAACATATATAAAGATGTAGATTGTCTATGCACAAGTTCTCCAATTTCATTTTCCTAAAGCAGATCTATTCCAAGTCCCAGCCTTGTCCAGGTATTCATCGTTCATTTGACTTTCGTTTCCTCCCTGTTTTTATTACCCTGAATTCTTTGGAAGCCCACTTTTAGAAATGACATGGGTCTGGTTCTCTGGATTATTTACCTGGGAACATTTTTGTGTACTTAAAGTTGTACTCTTGATTTAATTTGATATGATGTTTGAGCAGAAAAAATACAGAGCTGATTATGAGCAGCGGAAAGATAAATACCAGCTGGTGGTTGATGAGCCTAGACATCTGCTGGCTAAGACGGCAGGCGAACAGATCAGCCAGGTACTGTGGTGGGGCTGGTCACCCAGCCCAGGCAGAACTGCGCTCCGGGTTTCTCACAAGATGTTGTCCCGTCTGCTGCAAGGATGTCATAGGTTCTGCCTATGATATTGGACTGTTCTGTTTCAAAGTTCTCTGTCTAGCCACCCAAAAAGCCCGTGAGCTATTTGAGTGTGCCAGTCCATGCTCTGTGTCCTTACTTGTGCCCTGGTGAAGATGAAGAGAAACGCTGTGTCCTCCCACCATTTTCCATTCTGGAGGGCCAATTTCTAAACTGCAATTTTCCCATGCCCAATTATAGTTTGAGTTACAAATGCAAAAATGAAGAAACACATTAACAAAAAGAAAGAGATGGAACTATGTATTTTTTATTTCCTATGATATCTTTTCTTCTATAGAGCAATTTTACATCACATAAATAAGTAATTAGCTCAACATAAGTAAGACTTAGCTCCATGGTTCCCCATTAATAAGGATGATGAATGGTTAACTGCAAGTACTGTGATAATTCTACTTGGTATTCTAACTATATCTGGCATCTTCACCTGAACATATATGTGAGGACAGAAAGTATGTCTGCCTACATCTCTTCACTCAGAGGTGATTGGAATATAGAGCTATGTTCTTTTTTGTCTTCATAAGTCTCTTTTGTGCTTGACTGCTCTTTGCATGGACAGAAAAAATATAAATCTAGTGCCAAGATGCTTCTGAGAAATGGATGTAATGAAATTCTGCGTCCAGATATGTTGACTGCTCTCTACAATACACACATGTGGAGCCAGGTAATGCCTGATGTGTTGTGAAGGTGACTTAGGATGCTTTAGGTGCATTCCCTCATATGCTTTCATGGATTTCCCCCCTGCCCTGCTCCATGCTGGACTAGTATGATGAAGCTGCATGAATGTTCATTCCTTATTAGTGAACTCTGGAGGTAGCCAGGTGCGATGATGCTGCAGTCTTCACCTGGACAGTGGCAGTGGACAACCACTTGACTCAGCAAGATTAGCTGAGACATTTTTAAATGTTATAGCCAAACTGGCGTATATTTTTTCATATATTTCGTGTATTTATTTTCCCAATAAAAGTAAATTCCTTATAGACTGAGGGTATTAATTAAGTCAATGCAACAGCATTTAGAAAGTTTTCAAATAATTTTTCCGTTCTTCAATGGTCACTGCTATACCATTTGGGAGGAATTAGCTGGTAGTGTAGTGGTTACAAATCGGGCTGCGAGCCGCAAGGTCGACAGTTCGAAACTACCAGCGGTTCCGAGGGAGAAAGATGAGGCGGTCTGCTCCCGTAAAGATTTACAGCCTCAGAAACCCTGTGTAGGGTCACTATGAGTTGGAACCAACTCCGCGGCACACAACAACAACAGCATTATAAAACAGCTCTTTGAATATTATACATATTCATGGCCCTTTGTGGGTCTAATACTGAATTTGTAGATTTTGTAGGTTCTTAAAGGAAACCTTCTGAAGTCCTGGTGTGGCACTTCGGGTTAGTGAGCTGGACAGCAAGTTTGGTTTGAACCACTGATCTTGAGGTTCAAGCTCACCAGTTGTTAAACCCTATACATGGTCACTAGGAGTCAGAACCGACTTGATGGCACTTAACAACAATAACAACAAAAGGAAACTTTCCAGCTTATCGGTTCATACGCACTTGTAACATCGCTGGTAAGAATACCTTCCTACAAGGGCCACTGAAGCATACTCAGGATGAAATGTAATCCCAGGAGGAAATGTAAATGTGGAACAGCAACAATGATAATTGGATAATTACCAGAAACACTATTGTTCAGAGACCACAGTTCCAAAATTAAGAATTTTTTTATTCAATATTTTGTTCTAGTAATTTGTTTCATCGTTTTTTGTTTGCTATCAAATCAGCACGTAATTAAGGTCCTTGAGCTCTGCCTAGGAATTGGCCTGAACTTTTTCTTTTCCCTGATACGTTCATTAAATAGTTGTGCATGAAATTTTGCTGGCTCCTTGGATCTGCACTGCTTGAAACAGCTTATGTGCATGAAAAAAAAAATTGGACCTAGAAATGACAAAAACAAATGTAATTTAAAATATATCTATACTCATTGTTCATACTTGTCTAATCTTTGATATGTGAAAATACTTTCAGAGATCACAGATACTCAGTGCAATGTGTTGTAAGGGAATCATTATTATTAGAGTCCAGAGGACAAGTTTCTAGTCACCTCTGCAATTCACTCAGTATATGTGCCCGTGGTCCAGTCTCTTAACTTCTCTGAGCCTAGGTGTCCATGTGTATAAAACACTTTGAACTATATTTAATGCCATTTTGAAATGTCATTTTTTTGTTTATTTGAGCACTGCACTGTCCCATTGCTATTGAATACAAATTTCTATTATTTGCTCACTACATCGAACCATTGCTAATGAATACACATTTCTGTTAAGCATTTCAGTTAGCATTGTTAGAAATGCTACCCTGACACCATCTCCTACATCTGTGCCATATCATAATCCCACTATCTGCTATACATACATACTTTTTTCTCAAGAAGGAAACTCAGTTTTCTAAAGCCCTCTATTCTATTTTTTATTAATTCTTGCTTCTCTGTAAAATTTAGATCAAATACAGAAAAAAATATGAAAAGTCGAAAGACAAATTCACTTCAATTGTTGATACTCCAGAACACCTGAGGACTACAAAAGTCAACAAACAAATCAGTGATGTAAGTACAAGAATCACTAACTAGACTCTCAAACTCAGTGGTGGGTAGTGGTGGGGGTAATTTAGACTGTCACAATATCTGAGGGACGCTACAGCCACTTGGTAGGAGGAAGTCAGGGAGGCTAAGCGTCCTGATGTGCATAGGGTTCTTCTTTCATAAGAAAGAAGAATTGTTTCAAACAAATTGACCGACACCTCAGTTGACAAACTCTGGAGTCTTGGCAAAGAGCCTGAAAGCCCCTATTGAATACATAGAACTCTCTTTTCTTTATACTTGCTTTAGAAAAAAAATGCACTTATAAATTGAGAAGCATAACACTGTGTCTTTCTGATTTATAATCTCTTTCAGATACTCTATAAACTGGAATATAACAAGGCCAAACCCAGAGGCTACACCACAATCCATGACACCCCCATGTTGCTGCATGTCCGTAAGGTGAAGGATGAAGTCAGTGATGTAAGTATCTCTCATTTTGTCCCCTGTTTAATGTGATCTAATGAATCCTGATCCAGTTATCTATTGTTGCATAACTACTACCCTAAAATTTAGTAGCTTTAAATTGCAATCATTGTATTTTGTTCATAAACTGACTGGGCACAACCGAGTATTTCCTCTACTCCACATGATGCTGGTAGGTATTGAGCCAGGACACCCAAGATGGCTCACTCACATGGATCATTGATAATGACTTTTGGCTGGGAGCTTGCCGGGGGAACCCCTATGTGTGGCTTTGGACATCTGAAAGCAAAGTGATTGGGTTCCAAGAGAAAGGACATGGTAGCTTCTAGGCCATTCAAGAACTATTTCTAAAACAAGTGCAGAGGTACTTTTCCCATATTCTGCTGGCCACAGTGCCCACCCAGATTCAGGAGGCACCACTTTGTGATAGGCCTCCATGTGGGAAGGTCACATTACAGAAGAGTATGTGGAATGGATGAGGTTATTGAGGCTGTTATTAGAAATAGCCACAGCCCCTATTAACACTCTATCAGTTTAGCTTGACTGAGAGGAACCAACCAGATGTTATATATTTATCCTCTAATTTGGGGGAGAAATGACATTCATATATATTCAGACATGTTGCTTGAGTCTATGGTTTAGAACTATCATCATTTGGATTGATTCAAAAAAACAAAACAGATTCCATTTTTTTAAAAGAACTCCTTGGCTACATGAGCTGGGGAGCACTGGAAAGGACAATAAAGGCAACTGTGAATAGTTATTGTTAATTCTGACCCATAGCGACCCTGCATAGGGTTTCCTAGGGGTGACTGGTGATGATGAACTTTGTGGTTCAAACTGACTTTGCAGTCCAGTGCATTAACCCACAGCACCACACTAGGACTCTACTAGCTTATCCCTATTACAAAGCTTATCCCTATTACAAAGCCTAGGTTGGAGCTGGTATTCAGGTATTCCATGATGGATGAATAAATATGTTCATACTCTTGATCCTGGTAAAGAAATGCATTGTTTAAGAAGACAGAGATGTGTAACAAGTTTTACAAGTATGAAAAATGTTAAAATAGTTGTTGACACTTAAATATGAATATCAAGTGTTCACAAACATGTATGAGATTGATCCCTTACATGGAATAACCACTCCTTATTGAAAAAAAAATGGTTCCTCTATCTCACTAAAGAGTCCTGGTATGGTGTTGCAGGTTAACGTGCTGGAATGCAAAGTCAATTTGAACCTCAAGGTTGGTGGTTCAAGTTCGCCACCTACTCGTCAGAAACCCTATACAGGGTCGCTATGGGTCAGAACCGACTGGACAGTACTCAATAACGACATTTCCCTAAACTTTTTTTTGCTGATTTTAAGAATTACATAGAGTATTGATGAAAATATAAATTTTTAGGCATTTTTCCTAAAAATACTGATTTATTAAGTTTTCTGGATTGAATTGTGTCTCCCAAAAATATGTTTTTGAAATCTTAAACTCATGCCTGTGGTTATAATACCATTTGGGAATGAGTTGTCTGTTATGTTAATGAGGCAGGATTAGCATAGAATGTATTTTGAGTCCATTTCTTACTAGATATAAAAGGAACAAGCAGAAATGGAAGAAGATAGGTGCAAGCCATATGGAGATCTCCAAAGAACCAGGAAACAAAAGCTGATGAGACAAGGACCCTTCCCAGAGTTGACAGAGAGAGAAAACCTTCCTCTAGAGCAGGGGTGAGCAACGTCCAGCTCCCAGGATGCATGTTGTTGTTGTCAGCTCTGTCAAATCGGTTCCAACTCACAGTGATCCAGTATAGGGTTTCCTTGGAGGAGCTGGTGAGTTTGAACTGCAGTCAAGTGGTTATGGCCCATGAAATCATTTGGTCTGGCCCTGCCAAGGCAACTGCAGTTCCAGCCATCGCGTTGCAGCAGGCTAATTTTTAAGTTGATAATTTTGTATGGCCCACAAATGATGTTATAAAAATCAAAATGTCCCGTGGCAGAAAAAGATTCCTTTCTGGAGTCCTGGTGTGGCACTGAGGCATAAAGCACTGTACCAAAAGGTCAGTTTGAACCACAAGGTCAGTGGTTCAAACTCACCAGCTGCTCCTTGGAAACTCTATAAAAGGGTTACTATGAGTCAGAGCTGACTCCAAGGTACTTAACAACAACAACAACAGCAACAACCCCTGCCCTGGAGCCTACACTAAAATTTGGACTTAAGCCCTCCTAACCTGTGAGAAAATAAATGTCTGTTTGTTAAAGTCATCCACTTGGGGCATTTTAGTTACAGCAACACTAGATAGCTAAGACACTAGGCCTGTGGTGGTGGTTTTGTTAATGCTGTCAAGTCGATTCTGACTCATAGCTACCCTGTATAGGGTTTTCATAGAGCAACTGGTGGGCTTGAACCACCAATCTTGTGGTGAGCAGCCCAGTGCTTATCCTACAGTGCCACACTGTGGTGAATCTCAAAAAACTGATTCTTATGGTCAGGCAAGTTTAGTAAACACAGCTATGGCTCCTTTAGAACAGTTTTACTTATTTACAGTAGTCTTTTAACCACATTAAAACATAGGATCCTTCCACAGAATTAATGAAGAGGCCCAGATGTGGACACAACACCATAAATTTAAGAGGAACTATTGTTGCTGTGAAGTCCTGGTGTGGCGCTTAAGTTCTGGACCTAAAAGTCAGTTTGACCCACAAGGTTGGTAGTTCAAACTTACCAGCGACTACTTGGAAACCGTGTCGCTATGAATTGGAACAGACTCGTCGACACTTAACAACAATAACAGCAATTATTGTTAAGTGCTGTTGAGTCAGTTCCAACTCACAGCAACCCAGTATGGGGTTTCCATGGAGTGGCTGGTGGGTTTTAACCATCGGTCTTGCAGTTCAAACCAACCTTGATGTCCAGTGCATTATCCTGCAATGCCACACAAGAGTGGGTGAAACTAGAAACCCCATACCCAAGATGGGGAAACTGCTGGTCTCCTCGGGCCTGCAGAAGCTATTCTTTTCCCATTCCCATGCCACATGTACCCTGCCTTACTAGATACAGCTATAGTTATGATGTCATGACAACCATCAGTTCATTCATTCACCAAATATTGTTTGAGTTTCTGTGTGGCTGACACTAGAAATGAGATGGTGAAAGATACACAGCTTTGCCCTCTAGAGGTTCAGCTTAGTAGAACAGATAGACAGATAAACAAATCATTACAACATAGCATAAAAACACCTAGAATGGAAGAAAAGGCAGGTGTGGGAGCAAAGAAGGACACAACTAATCCCAGTCCCTCCTAATTTTCTTATCTTTGGTCTCAGGCAAATGTTTATTGTCTGGTTTCATTTCGATGATTATTTAGAGTTAGTGGGGGAAAGTCTTCTCTTCCATCAGCAGTTTTCAAGATGCTCTGAACTCGGGTTTCTGACTTGGAAAGGGAAAGCATCCATGGTTCACTGTCTACCTGGCCTTTTCAGAACAAGCTCAGGATCATAAATCATATGATGCCACAGGTGAACAAACTCAGTGTGCCCTAGAGAGCTGGTTTGTAAGATGTATGATAGGAAGGTATAGCTCTACATAACTGCATAGCTACAACTTTTCTGTTTTGCTTTGTTTTGTTTGGTGGTTTTTTTTCCCCTTGTCTAGGATCTTTTTATTTGTACTTTCTTTTTAAATATTTTATTGTGTTTTAGGTGAACGTTTACACAGCAAATTGGCACTGTAGGATAAACACTGTAAGGTAGGCAGTTCAACACTGCTAACTGTAAGGTCGGCAGTTCAACCCCACCAGCTGCTCTGTAGGACAAAGATGATGCTGTCTGCTCCTGCATATATTTACAACAGCCTTGGAAACTCATTGCTATGAGTCAGAAGTGACTTAATGGCATAGTTAGGTTTTGGTTTTACACATATTGTTCAGAGACATTAGTTAAATTTTTTCAGTGTGCTAGAATACTCATTCACAATGTATCAGTCATTCTGGTTGTTCTATTTTCATTAATCTGGTTTCTCAGTCCCACATTACCTTCTTATCATTGGTCTCAGGCAAATGTTTGTTGTTTGGTTTCGTTTCGATGATTATTTAGAAAAGCACGGCACTCACAAGTGTTATTATTTGTTTTATAAATCAATCTGTCATTTGATGTAAAGGTGTCTTCCTGGAGTGGTTTGAGTTCCAAGTTTAAAGGGTATCCCAAGGCCATAGTCTCGGGGGTCCCTCTAGTTTTTACAGGTTCAGTAAGTCTGGCCTTCTTTAGGAATTTGAGTTTTGTTCTACATTGTTCTTTCAGTCTGTTTTAAATGTATGAATATGTATGCAGTACACATAAACATGTATATACATATACCTACAGATACCATTGTACATACACAGTCATATATTCATATATACCTCCCTATACACATCCTGGTGTGGTGCTGTGGACTGCAAAGTCAGTTTGAACTGCAAGGTTGGTGGTTCAAGCTCACCAGCCACTCCTCAGAAACCCTATATCAGGTCACTGTGGGTCATAACCAAGGAGCTCTAGTAGCGTAGTGGTTACGAATCGGGCTGTGAACCGCAAAGTCAGCAGTTCAAAACTACCAACTGTTCCACGGGAAAAAGATGAGGCTTTCTGCTCCCATAAAGATTTACAGCCTCGAAAACCCTGTAAAGGGTCACCATGAGTCAAAACCAACTCCACGGCACATAGCAACAACAAAAGGGAAAAACAAACTGGACAGAACGGAACAACACCAGATACATATAGGGGAGAAACCTGCCTACGTAACCTAAAGCACACAACTGCCAACAATAAGGCACGTCCTGCAAAACAATCACCCAAACAGACAGAGAAAGAAGAGACATCCTGCGGCCGAAAAAACAAGAAGACTTAAAAAGCCTCTACACAAACACCATGCAGAAGAACCGATCCCACAACACACAACAACAAAAACAACACAAAGACAAAAAGACAGGGCATGGCAACGGCGCCAAATCTGATAAAACCCAAAGGATGAGGCAACCAAAAAAAAGAAAGGTCAACATCACTAATCGAAAACTGAAAACCGCAAACAGAGACACCAGGCGTCCGAACCAACTCAACGGCACTGAACAACAACAAAAAAAAAAAAAAACAGAAAACATTTATGAGGATTTTAAGTGGAAACAGAAAGAATGAAGGGAAAAGCTAGGAAAGCAGACAAATGGCCACACTATGCACAACACAAAAAAAAAACGCCCACTCTAAAACAAGCCACATGAAAATGAAAAAGACAGAACCAACGGAAAAAAAATCAAAAAGGACGTTAGGTGGCCCGCAACAACCAAAATAAAAAAAAGGAAAACAAAGAACCAAGTCCAATTGCACCATTGAACCTGACGCTGTTCACATCAAAGCAGCCAAGGATGCCTACAAAGTCAACACCAATGTAAGTTCCCAAACCTTCCCAGGCTAATTAGGGCAGGGCTCAGCTTTGTGGAATGTGTGGCCTCTTTTCACATCTCTTCAGGTGGTTAAGTTCCCGTGAGTTCAGATCCAGAGTTAGGCCCCAGGAGCCCTGGAAGCATGAGTAATGATGCTGCATCTATTTGTTGCCTCTGATCTCACAAAAAAGCATGGATGATTTAACTTTAGTGCCTTGATATATCAGCCACTGTCTTTGGATCACATGGCTGAGAAGGAGGAGATTTTGGTCTCAAACAAAGGTTGTGTTTTGCAAGGTGCCTTTGTATTTTTTATTCCTCTTCCTGCCACAAACTCTAGAACCTGCTTCTTCTGAAAGAGAAAACCGTTTAGCCACTTGGCACTGTCAGGATTTGGTCTAGACCTTCTACCAGCTCAGATGCTCCCTGCACTGAGGCGCTTCTTTGTGGTCTCAAACCCTCAAACACAGAAACATTTTTTGTGCATTTAAATGAGCGCTGACCTTTAACATATATATAAATGACTAGTGTAATGAAACCATTGTTGTTGTTGTTATGTACCATGGAGTCGGTTCCGACTCATAGTGACCCTGTATAAGGTTTCCAAGGAGCGACCCTGTATAAGGTTTCCAAGGAGGGTTTCTGAGGCTGTAAATCTTTACGGGAGCAAAAAGTCTCATCTTTCTCCCGTGGAACAGCTGGTATTTTCGAACTGCTGACCTTGTGGTTCACAGCTTGATTCGTAACCACTACACTACCAGAGCTCCTTAATTAGAGCCCAACTAATTGCCCACTGGTGTTGTGTGCCTCCAAGTGGATGGAAAGTTGTAGTGGCCCTATATAGTGTTTCAGAGGCTTTTTAAGTCGTCATGGGAGCAGAAAACCTCATCTTTCTCCCAAGGCGTGGCTGGTGGGCAGGAATTGCTGACTTTGTGGTTCGCAGTCCAGTGCTTATCATATGGAGCCAATGCACCAGACAAAACATGTATTTTTTAGGGCTAGTGAATGGAAATGCCCCTCGGAGCAGACAAGTAGCTTAAAGGTGGTCAAAGATTAGATGGAGTCAAGATATATGGGATAAAACAAATCCAGTCAAATGTATACTGCAAAATCCATGTTGTGGTTGTATGAATATTGTCTATTATATTCTTGTAATTCTTTTTGAAAATTTATGTTTAATATTTTAATAATGAAGTTAGAGCGAAAAGTCATCAAATAGTACATGTGATATATTTGCATTTTATTGTTCATAAATGGAGCCTCAGTTTAAAAAGAGAGAGTTGGGGGGGAGAAGATTAGAGGAAGAAATGTGCCTCATAGTACAGGCCCTTCCGTAAGACACTCAAATCCAATACACTGAGCTGGATAAAGGGTTTCCTTTCTGATGGTGCAGTGTGTTAGCCATTGGACTGATAACCCACTAGGTTGTCAACTCAAACCCACCAGCCACTTCTTGGGAGAAAACTGAAGCTGTCTGTTCTTGTAATGATTTACAGTCTTGGAACCCTGCCCTTAGGGTTGTCATGCATCAAAATCAACTCAAAGGCAGTGGATTTTGGTTTGTGTGGGCAAAGAGTTAACATGCTAACAAAAGGTTGGAGTTCAGTGCATCCAGAGATTCCTTGGAAGAAAGTCCTGGAAAACTGCATCAAAGAAAGTGGCCATTGAAAATCCTATGGAATAATTCTATTCTGACATTATGTAGGCTCACCATGAGTCAGTTACTTGACAGTAACTCTTTTTTCTTTTTTTTATTTGTGGTGGGGTGGAGATGGAACTAAAGAATCCTACCTATTGGGTGACTGACTAGCTGCTAAAATTGTACAGAAATTTTCATTGGGGCTCTTTCTTTTATTAAGAACTGGTGTGTTCAAATACAAGATGTATCCCTGTATGCTGTATGTTTATGAATACTGGCTGCTGAGTGAAGAAATTACCTTTTTTCTCATTACAAAACAGCTGGACTACAAAAAACTGTATGAAGCAAACAAAGCCCACTGGAGGTGGATCCCTGACCGACCCGACTTCATCCAGGCAGCCAAGTCATCCCTGCAGCAAAGTGATGTAAGACAGGAGAGGCTAAGAGAGTCGTAACTGCATGACACACCTGAGAAAGTAATAATTACCCATAATAACCACTGCAGTGGATATTAAGCCTACCTCTAAGGAGAGTAGGCTTGTGAGGAGGACAAGACCAGTTTAGGAAGCTGGCCTGGCCATGGAACTGCTATCCCACTGTAAGCTCAGACTCAGATGGGTGAGAGCCCTAACTGAGGATGGGGAGGGAGAGCAGTTTTGGAAGGCTTCATCCTGGCAGCTGGACTAGAAAGGAGGAAGCCCAGTAGGCAGTGAGGGGAGTCAGGAAACCCCTCCTCTCATTATGGTAGCAAGACCTCATATTGACCTTTAAAGGGGAAACTCTCCATAGAGTTAATCACATGCCCACCATCCTCCTGTGCCTGAGACCCTTTGCTGTCTTCCTCTGCTTTTCTTCTGTTACAGTTTGAATACAAGCTGGATAGAGAGTTCCTCAAGGGTTGCAAACTTTCTGTCACTGATGATAAAGACATGGTGCTGGCCCTGAGGAATTCTTTGATCGAAAGTGACGTAAGTATCCAGTGCCTTCCTTTTTCTACACCATAGTCCGCAAGAGCACCCAGAAAAGGATGGGGTGCTGCTCCTGTAGGAACTCAGGTGTGGATCCTGAAATATGAGCCCATCATGAGTGGACACCAGTGATGTCCAGGTGAACATTGATGACTGTACTCTACCCTAAGATTGACAGAGCAAGAATTCCGAATCTGAAGGCCTGCCTACATTCAGAATTGAGACTTTTTACTTATTTCCTGTAGGAGCTCTGGTGATGCTTTGGGATAAATGTTGGACTGCTAATCTATAACCCAGCAGCCACACAGAAACCCTAAGGAGTACTTCCATTCGGCACTACAGGGCCGCTATAAGTTGGAATTGACTCAATGGCAGTGCGTGGATTCTTTATTTTTCGTAGGATTGTACTCAGTTTCCTCATCTGGAAAGAAGGAATAATAATAATGCCTCTTCAGGCTAGGGAAAGGTGAAATGTCAAACTTGAAAAATACTTTGAACTAAAGGTTCTATATGCAAAGATTCATTACGACATCTATTTTGGTTACTATAAGAGGCTCCATCTGCAAGAGATAATTATTTCTTTTGAATATTTCCTGAGGCTTTCAAATGTTAAATCTTTCATTGAGTCTTAAGGTTTCTTAAGTATTGGGTAGCCTACCATAAGGTTGGTGGTTCAAATCCTCAGGCTATCTGATGAAACTTTCTGCTCCCAGAAAGATGTACAGTCTTGGAATCACAAAGGAGCGGCTCTACTCTGTGCTTTTGGGTCGCTCTGAGTCAGAATCGATTCGATGGCGGTGAGCCCAGTGTGTCAAAGATGCTTCTCTTCCAAGTCTATCTAGTGGTTTGGAGGTACAATGAAAATGTGCGGGATATTCAGAGGTGCTCAAGAAATGTGCTTTTGCTTTCTCACCCCTGCAGCTGAAATACAAAGAGAAACATGTCAAGGAAAGAGGAACCTGTCAGGCTGTGCCCGACACTCCTCAAATCCTCCTGGCAAAGGCTGTCAGCCATCTGGTGTCCGAGGTAACGGTCCCGCAGCACATATGTCCCACTTCCCTCTCCGGCTAATGCTCCAGGCAGGTGCCTTAACAAGCTCTCTGTGGATTCCTCAGAACAAGTACAAGGACTATGTTAAGAAGCACTTGGCCCAGGGCTCATACACAACTCTGCCAGAGACCCGTGATACTGTTCACGTCAAGAAAGTGACCAAGAATGTCAGTGAGGTAAGTGACCAGCCCCAGGAGTCTGGGCAGCAGCCGTACCACATTTACTTAGAATTCCGGGGGAGGCCTGTACACTGCTTTTGGGCTTTCAGATGCTTTCCCTTTTTATGTGGCGCGCCTCTCAGCATTAATAGCAATGTGTGAATCTTAGACTGTGGTTCAGAAAAGAGTCTTATATTATTGGCTTTCCACTTATGGTAAATGTGCATTTTGTCACCAGATTTGTTAACTAGCTATGTAAAATGTTACTGGCCTACTTTTAATATGGGGAGGACAAATTTGTAGAGAAGAGTAGTCACTCCTGTCCTTATACTGACAAGTAATTTTTTAAATACATAAATAAAAATAAGTTGTAGTCAATTTGATTCCAACTCATCACAACCGCATGTGTGTCAGAGTAGAATGGTGCCATAGGGTTTTCGGTGGCATATTTTTCAGAAGTAGATCACCACACCTTTCTTCCAAGGTAGCCCTGGGTGGACACAAACTGTAAATCTTCCACTTGTAGAAAAGTATAATCACCTCTCTGTACTTCAGCCATCTCAGTCCATATTATCCTTAACTGATGATGCTGCGGAGTCCTGGTGTGGTGCTGTGGGTTAGTGCGCTGGACTGCAAGATCACTTTGAACCTCAAGGTCGGTGGTTCAAACTCACCAGCCACTCCTCAGAAACCTTATACAGGGCCACTATGAGTTGGTACTGACTCAATAGCACTTAGCAACAACAACAACAATAATGCTGTAGTAACCATGGTATTATCTTTTCAGTCCCTTTAGTTTCCATCTAAAAAAGAAAAAAAAAAAAAGAAAATGGTAGAAAAGAGAGTGGGTTTTGCTTCTTCCTCAAATATTACTGGGTAGTTTCAGTGCTGGGTTTGGGGACGAAAATGACAGTGATGAACTAATTAGAATGTGATTTTAACTCCCAGACTGATGTCAAAATGGGAAACCATGGATTTTTCTGGAGATTCTTCTCACAGTTCTTCAAGTTGGTCAGTTTTATTCCCAGTTGTTTTCTACTCACACAAATACTCTGGCTCTGTTTAGACAAATTACAAGAAGAAGTATGTCAAGGAGAAAGGAAAATCCAACTACTCCATCATGCTGGAGCCCCCAGATGTGAAGCACGCCATGGATGTGGCCAAGAAGCAGAGCAATGTGAGTCCCTCCACTCAACACGTTAAGCAGTGGAATCTAACCTGGGGCCTGCTAGGCTTGCTCCATTAGTAGTCACCCCGACTTCTTCACTTTAGTTTTTGTTTTGCTGTTTAATGACAGAAATTGGTTTGATTTTAAAGTAAAAATATTTCTTGTGCTTCATGAGGACTCTTTGAAACATGGCATACTTCTCAAGTGAGTAATTCTTTTCTTTCCCTTATAAAGATTGCTTACAAAAAAGATGCCAAAGAGAACCTACATTACACCACAGTAGCAGACCGGCCAGACATCAAAAAAGCCACACAGGCAGCCAAACAGGCCAGTGAGGTAAGGGTATGGCTGGAAGTCTCCATGCCCCAAGGATACAGCCAACAAGTCATGCAAGACTCCCATCACATAGAACATGTTGCCCTTTTTCTTTGGTTTTCTTTGATTTAGGTGGAATACAGAGCAAAGCATCGAAAGGAAGGCAGCCATGGTTTAAGCATGCTTGGTCGCCCAGACATTGAAATGGCCAAGAAAGCAGCCAAGCTGAGCAGCCAGGTAATGATGAGCAAGTGACAGCTCTTAGGAGGAGATAAAAAGAACCTTACAGGGTGCAGTAATTCCCAGAATGGAAGTATGACATTAGCAACCAAAGTAACACTGGGTCTTTGATAGCACTTCAGGTTTGAAAAGTTCTATCATGAAAAATGCTTCCCTCTAACCTGTCTAGACCTTTCTGATTTTTCACTATCGCATTTATAGGTATGTGTGTCTAGGTGTCTGTGTGCTTCACAAACTACATGTGACAAAAGAAATTAACTCATGAGGTCCTAGTGGAACCTTTCCCCAGGCAGTAAGAATAACATCCCAAGAGTCTAATTCATATTTGAGTAACCTGTGAGAGATTTGTTAACATGCAAGAGACATGAAATTCTAACTTCCAAAATCCAACCAGATGCAGTCACATTAAGTCTTTATTTCAGTATACATATAGTATGTGTCTGGATGCTAACCGCAAGATCAGCAGTTCAAACCCACTAATTGCTCCAAGGAAGAACGATGAGGCTTTCTGCTCCCAAAAAGGTTTACAGCCTTGGGAACCCTGTGTGGGGCCACTATGAGTCAGAATCTACACGATGTCACTGGGTATATAGTGTAGGTCTGGGTTGGAATGGGTTAGGAGGTGGGGTTGTGGATGGAAGTTGTGTGTGACCCGAAGCTCTCAGACTACATGTCTGTGAATAAATAATTATAATTTAGTATAAGTGTTTGCTACAGGGATGCATGTTGTGTTGACAGGAAATACTTCATTCTGGTGGTGGTGGTGGTGTAAATATTTACGGGAGCAGAAAGCCTCATCTTTCTCCCACGGAACCACTGGTAGTTTCGAACTAGCTGAACTTGAGGTTAGCAGCCCGACTTGTAACCACTATGCTACCAGAGCTCCTTATGCTTCATACTAGCAGGTTTCATATTAGAGAAGAATATGGTCTCAGAAATATGTTGCCCAAACATTACACATTTTTCTTGTTATTTTCCAGTTATATAAGTTACTCTCATAGAGGTTTTCAAACTCTAGCTCATAGCCCCGTGATCTGTCACCAGATCTCTCAAAGTGACAAGTTCTGTTCCCTAGAAGTTAAGCTCAAGAATATCTTATTTATCCTCCAATTTAGAGATACTACTTTCTTTTGTTCATTATTTATGTTCTCTAAAGTACTTGGTTAAGGAAATATTTCAGGTAATGTGGTTGCTATATGGACTGACTTCCAGCAGTCTTTCAGAAAATACAAATTAGTAATGGCAAATGAGAACCTCAAAACAAGTTTGGAATTAAGACGAGATAATAGACTGGGATGACTGATTACAAGTTAATATGATCTTTAAAATTTTTTTTCTTTTTAATTTTAAACATAATATGATCTTTTTAACATTTTTTAAATGTTTGTTTTATTTTTAAAGTCTATGTAGTATTTTTATCACAAGTTCATGGAATTTAATAAACATTTGAGAACAAGACATGAAATCACCAACAAAAAACAGTGGAATCTTTAAAATTGATTAACTGTGGTATGACTCTGTAGGATAAGCACTGTACTGCTGATTACAAGATTGATGGTTCAATCCCACCAACCACCCTTTGTAAACTCTGTACAGGGTTTCTGAGTCAGAACAACTGGATGACACTTAACAGCAACAATAAGACCCAATTAAAGAAAATTATTATTATTATTATTTTAATTATACTTAAGGTCATCCCATTAGCAAATCAAAAACAATGGCTTTGAGATTGAAATTTTGATAAAAATTGATTTTGTAAAAACCTAGAGGCTTATATTTCTAGTCATAAAGTGAAAGTTAAGGAGCTCTGGTAGCATAGTGGTTACGAATCGGGCTGTGAACCTCAGGGTCAGCAGTTCGAAACTACCAGCTGTTCCGTGGGAAAAAGATGAGGCTTTCTGCTCCCATAAAGATTTATAGCCTCGGAAACCCTGTACAGGGTCACTATGAGTCAAAATCGACTCCACGGCACATTGCAATAACAAAAGTGAAAGCTATACTGTGGAGAATGGGACTCCATTGGATCCTTTTTATGCATACACCTTCCTACTTAACTTCCATGACTCACCTTCCTGCATTCATTCACTTCCTGTGAAAGACTTGCCTCAAGATTCAGTTTGGGCATCTTCATCCTGTGGCCTTTGAATCAAGAGGATTTAAGCTGCTTGTGGGCTCTTCCCATTCTGACTCTGCTATCTTGCCACATACTGTACGTGAAATATCTCAAAGGCCAAAGGAGAGGGCATGGGCACGGCGCCACATCTTATGACACCCCTATGATGAGGCATCTTAAGAAAATTAATGTGCTCATCAGTGATGTAAAACTGACAGCTGCAAGCAGATATCTCTGTCTTCCTCTTTTTCTCATCTTCCTTGGCCTTGGTCATATGACTGACCAAGTTGCAATCTTTTATGTTGATTTTGTGTTGGAACATGTAGAATGCTGTGGAAATTTGTGAAAGGATCTAATTTTGCACACTATTCTCTTTTCCTGCATGAAACTTTCGCTTTAAAACATGCCACTTGAAAGTGAAAGATAGATTTGGCTTGGAAATAGCCTCTCAATGTACTTTAGGTGGCTGGCAGTGATCAAATTAAAAGAAATGAAAACGGAGACTCTCATTTCCAACGGCACAATGAAAACCTTTGTTTCTCCTGAAAATGTTTATCACTGTTGATATTTAACACATTTCATTCAAGCACACTTTGTGTTAACAGGACTAGACATTTAAAAGAATTTCCACTCAGTTTTTTGATCCTTTGTTTTATAGTCTTGAAAAAAAGAAATGTTCTCTTCACTTAGCCACTTCTTGCATCTTTAGAAATGCCAACATTCAGTTCAATTCCCTGAAAAAGACCAGGAAAATTGGAATGTTACACTCAAATACAATTAAACTTTAAAAGGATAATTATTTTAACACCGCTCTCTTACACAAGGAGCTCTGGAAGCGTAGTGGGTTACAAGTCCAGCTGCTAATCATAAGATCCTCAGTTCAAAACTACCAGCCACTCCACAGGAGAAAGATGAGGCTCCCATGAAAATTTACAAGGAGTCTTGGTGTGGCACTGTGGAATAAGTCACTGGACTACAAGGTCGGTTTGAACCACAAGATCCGCGGTGGTTCAAACTCCCAGCTGCTCCTTGGAAACCCCATACAGGGAGTCGCTATGAGTAGGAACAGACTTGACAGCACATAACAACAACAAACATTTTACCCTATCCAGGGTCACTATGAGTTAGAAACACACCACCACCACCTCTTACACTATGATGGAGAAAGATGAGGCTTTCTGCTCCTACAAAGATTTACAGCCTTAGAAACCCTATACAGGGTCACTATGAGTCGGATTATTGATGTTATGTGCAGTTGAGTCAGTTTAGATTCATAGTGACCCTGTATAAGGTTTCTAAGTAGCGTCTGGTGTGTTTGAACCACCAACATTGTGGTTAGCTGTCCATTGCTTATCCTACAGTGCCACACCAGGACTCTATGAGTTGGATAGTTCTTAACAACAACAACATATCCTACACTACACCCATACCAAAACCATTGCCGTCAAGTCAATTCTAACTCAATGAACCTATAGGGTTGAGGATAACTGTCCCTTGGAGTTTCTGAGACTGTAAGTCTTCATGGAAATAGACAATCTCGTCTTTCTCCTGAGGAGAGGCTGGTGGATTTGAACCACTGGTCTTGCTGCTAAAATAGCTCAATGCCTATTCCACAGAGCCATGTTGTTGTTGTTATTGTTATTAAGTTCTGTAATCACTACGCTACCAGAGTTGATTAAAACAATGGCAAACTCAGAAGTGTCAACATAGTGGAACTGTGTTCCATGGGGTTTTCAAGAGCTGATTTCCTAGAAGTACATCTGCAGGCCTTTCTTCTGAGGTGCCTCTGGGTAGACTGGAACTTTCAACTTTTCAGTTGATTCCAACCCATAGCGATCCTGTAGAGGGTTTCCAAGGAGCAGCTGGTAAGCTTGAACCGCTTTGCAGTCTAGCGCATTAACCCATGGCACCACACCAGGACTCCTCAGAGCCATAGTAAGCCACTCTATGAGTTTGGGGGATTATATAAAACTCTGGTGCTGCTACTTGCTGATACACAGCATTGTACAGTTACTGCTTTGAGTTCCATGACTTAAAAAGGGGAGGAAAAACTATTTATTATTCCTAATGCCAGCATAAAGGTGCTCTGGTAGCATAGTGATTACAAATCAGGCTGCAAACCCCAAGGTCAGCAGTTCAAAACTACCAGCAGCTCCACAGGAGAAAGATGAGGCTTTCCGCTCCCATAAAGATTTACAGCCTCAGAAACCCTGTACAGGGTCCCTAAGAGTCAGAACTGACTCCATGGCACACCACCACCACCACCAATGCCAGCATGTATGTAGTTTTACTATGCGTACTGCCTTGTCCAACACCATTGTAAGAATTCTTGAGGTCCTGAATTCGATGTGTGTACTTATTTTTCAAAATGTAGAAGATGGAAACCCAGAGAGGAAGTGAGAAGACTGCTCCAATTTTGAGGGGAATGCAACTAATGCTAAAGAAAAAAAAATGTTCAATGGGAAACTGATCTGCTCTGTAAACTTTAACCCAAACCACAATAAAATGCTAAAATATAAAAATAAAAACTAGAAGGAAATAAACCCCCAAAAAATGTAGATGATGCAGCCCACTAATAAGAAGGAAAGCACTGAATGCAGGCAGATTTATATAAGTACTTATGCTAGGCTGCATTGGCATGGGAGCTTTTTTGTCCCAGGGTGCTCCCAATTATTCTGAAAAGTTGAAAGTTTCAGTCTACCCAGAGGCACCTCAGAAGGCCTGCAGATGTACTTCTAGGAAATCAGCTCTTGAAAACCCCATGGAACACAGTTTCACTGTGTTGACACATCCGAGTTTGCCATTGTTTTAATCAACTCAATGACTCTTCTTTGGGGCGTGGAATAAGAGAAGGCCTAACTTTTTTTACATTAAAAAGTAAGAAGTTTACATTTACTTGATAGGTCCAGAAAAAATAAACTAAAGTGACACCAATGGACTTGCTTCTCTTTGGAATAAAACATTTCTTCAGAAAAGTGATTTTATTTTCTAAAAGATAGAAGGAGGACTTTTTTTTTTTTTTTTAAGTTTTTATTGTGAACTGAGTGGTAGGTAATTTACTTGGGAGAACATTGGCTTTACACCATCTTTTCATTGCAATGATTACAGTCTCCTCAGTGCATCATCATTCAACAGTATTTGCTTCTATTCGCTCTGGTTTCTTTTTGGAGGGTGGGGCAGAGGGGGAAGGGATGTACAAAAACACTCCTGAATATATAATAATTTAAACAACCAAAGGGCACATTCTGCAAACCTGCCAGAAGGAGGTCTTTTAACATCCTTTGAAAAGAAGTCGATTTTCCCATCCAAAAGGAACCTTTGCGCCTCTGCTTTTCTAATCTGACTCTGTGTGGTTTGCTTTGTTTCTCTGTGTTTCACAGCTCTTGGGATCCTTCCTGTTCTTATGGACTCCTACATCCCTCAGGAAAAGTTTCCTTTCATTCCAGACCCCAGCTCAGGACCTCTGAGCTTCCCTAAAACTTTTCCCATTTCTTTCTTTGGAGAGTGACTTTCCTGTCAAAGAGCCATTCTAACATTTATTTAAATGTTGTTTTCCTACTGGGTTGTGTTTCTACTGCCTCCTTTGTGTGTCTGTCTCAATGTGCCTGCATCATGCTGTTTTGTTCTGCATGCTTATTTTTTCTATGCATATCCACTGTGGATTTATTCAAATTAAATGAGTCTCAATGTGGTGAAAGCCATTTTCTCTGGTGTGGCAGATTTCATTGTTTTTTAGCATTTGAGTAGTCTCATCTCGTGCCTGTTCTTATGGATATGTAAAGTTGCAGGGAATGAAGTACAGTGATGAAGCTTGAGGGCTACAGAGAGACAAATCCGGGTCACTGGATTCTGGCCTGCTAGTTTCGGGCGAATGAATCTTTCCTATTACCAGTAACAGAAACTCTTAAGTTTTCTTGAGATTCAAATAATTAGCTCTTTCAGTTGGCTAACACCTTAAAGTAGCTCAGTTTTCCTTCTTCCTACAGTGAACCACTAGTGGAGTTCTGCTGCTGAACTAAATTCTAGAATACTATTGACAAATGTATCAGTCTGTTTTTCAATAAGGAAATGTTTGTGACTTTTAATTATTCTGCTGACTTGTCTGTATTATAAGCAAAGCATCATTACACATTTCACTTGAGCATAACACTCCTTTTTTATTTATTCATTCACTCATTCAAACACATTCTATGGAGCAACTGTTAGCATCAGGTCTTTATTTTTTTAGCTGAAGTGATTTAGTCCTTTGCGTAATAACCTTACTTTCACATATCCTAAAAACATATTTACTCTTACTTTTCTAACTATTCTAAAGTCTAGTATTTCTTTCTTCTATTCTGGCATCATACTTGAAGCCAAATGGCCTCAAATTCTGGTTCTTTTTCACACAGAAATTACACCATTTTTCGTTCATGCTTTAAAAACTTAAACTTATATAACCAAAGTGCTATTTGTAAATCACAATAAATTCTCCTTATTTAACAGATTTCTTATTATTTCTAACCTTTCTCGATCATTTACAAGCTTTCTGAATTTCTCCCAATAGATCTAAGTGCTTTGGGGTTTGCTACTTAAGAAATCCAAAATGGTCTGAATCAATTAGATTTTATTACTTTTCTGCATTCAGCCTGAGGCCTTTTTCCACTTGTTTTTGTTTTGAATTAAGAAAAAAAGCAGTTACCTCTCATGTCTCTGGAAATATGTAATAATATAAATAATACATAATTTGGTCTTATGATTGCTTGTTATCCCAACATAGCTATTAATAGTGCCCTTTTTACTTGAAGAGTGTCCCTGTTTGGATAATAAATTATATTATTGCCTTATATGTAGCATGGTCTTTGGACTATATATTTTTGCCAATTCCTCAGTCTGCAAATTGATTGATGTTCAGGAATAATTTGGATGTTTCCATTTGCTGTTAGGTTAAATATAGAGAAAATTTCGATAAAGAGAAAGGAAAGACACCAAAATACAATCCAAAAGACAGCCAGCTCTACAAAGTCATGAAAGACGCTAATAATCTCGCAAGTGAGGTATGGTTTTCATTGCCTTCTTCAGCGTTTATTTCAGGGTGAGATATCTTACTATGATCTCCAACAGTGGTTTTCCATTTCCTATATATGGAATCTCTTTTTTTTTTTTTCCTTCATATATAGGTTAAATATAAGGCAGACCTAAAAAAACTTCACAAACCTGTGACTGACATGAAGGAATCCCTAATAATGAATCATGTCTTGAATACAAGCCAACTTGCCAGTTCTGTAAGCTCAATCATTTGTTCCAGAAACTGCTTGTTTTACCCATTTGCAACTAAATTCCTTCCCTGTCTTAACTGCATCGCCTTCTCTGCTACTGATACTCAATTTATAAGAAAGTTCTTGTGTTTAGATGTATCCTTTCAAATTGCAGCATTAATCTCCCAATTCTCCATTGACTATATGCCTAACAGAATGTAATAATACTTCTATTTTTAGAACGTTTAAAGTGGGTTGTGTGTGTGTGTGTGTGTGTGTGTGTGTTTTTAATTAACCAATCCCTTTCTTCCTTCTAAGGACAACTTTGGTATATTGAAGCCATATAACATAAGCATATACCTCTAGTATTAACTGATATACTAACCATATATTTTCAACTTTAAAAAACCTTATTTAATCCACCACTGTTTGCTGTTTTCAGTTTGGTCTTGACAATGCTGCTGTGTAAATGTCTAATCGAAAGAGGAAAAACAGGAATGCTAGCAACATTTTTATTAATTGCCTTTTCTGCCACCTTCCCATCAGTACCAATACAAGAAGAAATATGAGAAAAGTAAAGGCCACTACCACACAATACCTGATAATCTGGAGCAGCTTCATCTAAAAGAGGCCACAGAATTACAGAGCATAGTAAGTGGACGGATTCTGACTTTTTACCTAACACAGATTCATCAACAACATTGACCAATTTCACGGATCCCACAGGATAGTAGTTAGACTTACAGTAGCTGCGTTGAGAAACTGGTTGAAGATGTAATGGTCTTTGAATTTAGTAACACTTTGAAACAATTTTGGATGTTATAAATGATAACAGCATCTACATATATTAGACAAATAGCACATATATACGCAATATATGCTACTCAGTTATTGATAGGGCCTAGAAGTATAAAGATTATGTTACAAGGGGGACAGTGGTACCCCAGTGTACTCCTCAGATCTAAGTCCCACTTTAAGAAGCACTGCAACAAACAAATGGAACTTTTTGGAGAATTTTAATCAGAGAAGTAATATGATCAGATCTACCCCTGAAGATGTGGTGCTATAGGCTAAGTACCCAACCACAAGGTCAGTTTAAACTGCAAAGTCAGTGGTTCAAATTCACCAGCCGCCCCTTAGAAACCTTACACAGGGTTACTATGGTTTGGAACTGATCCGACAGCACTTCACAACAGCAACAACCATTGGAGGAGTCTCTAGGTATTTAATAAGTTCCTAAACGTGTGAGATAATTGAAGACTTTCAGAGGAAAAATCCCACAGGAAACGTTTAGTATCATGTGACTTCCTTGATCACAAATTCAACTTGATTTGTGTCAGCTGTTAACCAAGAGGATTTTTTACTAGAAATGTCCTTATATCATCTGCAAGCAGCATGTGCCCACAATCTCCATTCTGTGACCTTCAAGACCTAATTAGAGCCGGGAGAGCTGAGACTTCAGCATTGTCCTTCAGAGGCTGTGTGTGATTAAGAGGCAACGGCCTGGGCCTCTCGGCCTTTGAATTTCTCCTCTATAAGATATGAACATGGACATCGTCCTCCCATTCCTGGTCACATGTTATCAGGCTAAGGAGATTGCATTTGTGAAAGAACCTTGAGAGATCTTTAAGAATGCCATGTTTTCCATTTTAAATATGTGATCAGTTCTAACCCACAGAGAGTTGTTATAAGCAAAGTTGCTATGTTATCCATTAAATCAAGACCCCAGGTTGCTGATAAATTGTTCTTATAGAAGAAAACCTGGATATTTTTATTAGAAGTATTGACTAATGTTGTTGTTAATATATTCACACTTTGACCAACACTACTGGTGGGTGATTTCCCCCATGTAATTCCTTGCATCGTTGTTTCTTCCAACTGAATTATGCTTTGCAGACAGTAATGTTGTTTTCCCCATAGAAAATCACAAAAAGATACTGGATCTGAAACATAACAGGACTTTTCTTAATGGTGATGAGATGCTTCCCAATTGGGCATAATTGATCCATTAAAAATTACTACCCTTAAACAGGTCTCTTGTGAGCGCAGTGGCTTTATAGGATAAGCACTGGACTGCGAACCACATGGTCTGTGGCTTGAACTCACCAGCTGCTCTGCCAGTGAGAAATGAGGCTTTCTGCTTCAGCAAAGATGTACAGCCTCAGAAACCCCATACAGGGTTGACATGAGTCAGAACCAACAAGACTGCACCCAACAACAGTGGACAATTAGTTGGTTTAGCAACAACAACAAACAGATTTCTATCAAAGAGTTTGACCAGAAAAGAGATTTCTAATAAGACTTTTTGTCACCAGGTGAAATACAAGGAAAAGTATGAAAAGGAACGAGGGAAGCCCATGTTAGACTTTGAAACACCAACATACATCACTGCCAAAGAGTCTCAGCAAATGCAAAGTGGGGTAAGTTCTCCAAAACCACAAAAAGCAACACACAGACATCAAGCTGATGAAACCAAGCACTGCCCCAAAATACAGCTGACCTGCTGCTATACAAAACTGGTAGATGATGGCACCCTTTCACACGTGATCACTTAAATTATTTCCCTCTCAGAAGTCTGATTGTTCAGTTATGAAATATGTCCTAAACAGTAGTTTGTTATCACATCTGTTTTCTTTGAACTATCATTTTCCCAGAATTAGAATAGCAAACAATACCTAAAATGAATCAAATAATTTGAAGTTTTCTTTAATAAAATGAAAAGGAACGTTTATACTGACACACCATTGGCTTTAGAATGCCCTGGCCTTACAAGGATATCCCAAGCCAAACAAAAGAGGATTAGTAATCTTAGTGTTTATCAAGACCCCCAAGAAATAAAAAGTTAAGCATTCTAGTTCCTATTCTAAAGTTGTAAGTAGAGGCATTTTAAATCTCTCTCTCTCTCTTTAAATGTTTACCCTAAATTAGAGAAGAATGGTATCTTATTTAAATCCAAGAAAGTCTGCATTCAGTAAAAAACAGTCTTGATTTTGTTTTATTTCTTTTTGCCTTTCCTCCATGAGGCATATCTCCAAATATAAAAGATAGTTTTTAATAAGAGTAACAGTTTGTGGATCTTTCGGGTGCATAGACTGCCTGATAATCAAAAGTTTAGAATGGTTTCAAATAATTAGTAATTATGGGTAAAGGATCTATAGGAACAGCTTATTCTCTTCTTGCAGATTTTCTATAATGTTTAAATTATATTAAAATAAAAAGTTACAGAAAAGGACTTCCAACGTCTATGCCAAGGCTCTCAAAAATATCCTGATACAGAATTGGAGAGATGGGAGAAGTTGTTGCCCTTTGCCTCAACCATGGACAAACTCAACACATTTCTCTAGACCTCACTATCTACTTTATCTTCTCAGTGATTTAAAAAATAAATCATGTTTATGAAAACTTGGAAAAGGCCAAGTTCGTTTTGGGTACTCTGGCTCCTTTTCCTCTGTTTTTGTTTATTTGCTTTGCTTCATTCATTTATTTATTGCCTTGACTCATCTGTTTCTACTATGAAATGGAATTTTTTGTCACCTTAAGAAAAATAAGGGAAAGTTTGTGGTGTCTTGATGGCCAGTTCCAGCCATAAGGTCCATTAAAGTTTCTCAGCCTCTGCATTTCCTTGGGGCCCTTTACTGTAGACAATAATGTATTTCCAGAACAATCAAATATGTTTGCTTATTAGAAGAACAATGATCAAGTCAAGAGGCCATAAATTAAAAATGTAACTTTTTTCTTCCTAGGATTGAAAATAAACTGTAATAAAGATTCTTTATAACTTGCCTTTCCTTCCTACTCACATTAGAAAGAATATAGGAAAGATTACGAAGAGTCCATTAAAGGCAGAAACCTCACTGGCCTGGAGGTCACACCAGCTTTATTACATGTCAAATATGCCACCAAAATAGCCAGCGAGGTAGTGCCCACTTGCTCTTTTCTTTCCCTCTTCATCCAACTAATTGCACTAATGACCCACATCGGTGTGCTCCTATTACCGTTCTCATACCACCTAACTTTGTGGGTTTCAAGTTGGGTTCACATGTGTTTGTACTACCACCTAATCTATTACTCATGTTCATTCCTTTAATTGAATATCTAATAAAATGTACTCACCTTACTATCTTATTAATTTCCATTTTTTAAACTTGATATTTACTATTAACTGATGAAGCTTATAACCTATCTTTATTTGTATCTCTACTTACTAAACTTAAAGTAATTTAAAATTTGGAAGAATTTTGTTTCTTGGAAATTTATGAAAGAGGAACAATCCAGGTTTTCTTGTCAGTGTTGTTGCTTTTATTCTGTGATATAGAAAGAGTACAGAAAAGATCTAGAAGAAAGCATCCGTGGGAAGGGCCTCACTGAAATGGAAGATACCCCTGACATGCTAAGGGCAAAGAACGCCACTCAAATCCTGAATGAGGTAGGCCCATAGGCAACAATACTTACATAATTAACAGAGAATCTTTGCATCTCCAGCCAAATTATACCGAAAAACTGAAGAGCTCAAAAGAAAGATTTTGCCATTTTAATTCCATATCCAACATGATTATTAACTATTAAATAAGATCTGTCAATTTCTGATGAGTTCTATCGTTAACAGTCTGTTCTTAAATGGTCATCATAACTACTTAGTTATTTCTCTAATATTATTTCATTCAAGCTTGATACATTCACTGTGTTCATTCAGATGAAAATACCACACTGGAGTGCTGTGCTTTTCCTTTTAACCCTAGTTATGTACCAATTTGCTTTATGCTTTAATTTTCTGTGTAGAAAATACTAAAAGTATTCAAAAGGAGTCCATATACTGATTCATGTTGACACAAGTAGATCAGTTTACTAAAGTGGACTTCTGTAGTCACCGTTCCATTCAACAGATGGAACGGTGAAGATGCCCACCTCCTCCAAAACTCTTGGCCATTGAATCAATTGCAACTCATTGTGACCGCATAGGACAGAGTAGACCTGTTCCTTAGCAGTTCCTAAACTATACCTCTTTACAGGAGCAGACAGTTTCATCTTTCTCCTGAGGAGTGGCTGCTGGATTTGAACTGTCAACCTTGCAGTTAGCTACCCAAAGTTTAACCCACTGTGCCATTAGGCTTCTTATGTGAAGGTGCATAGGAGAAAGAAAATACTGCTTGGGGCAACTAAGGTGGCACCTTGTGTGGGTTTACATTCACTACTCATTCTGTACATTTAATAATGGAGGTCCTGATGTGGCACTGCAGGATAATTGCTGGACTGGTAACCTCTAGGTCTATAGTTCAAGCCTACCAGATACACTTTGGAAACCCTATACAGGGTTGCTATGAGTCAGAACAACAACAGAGGTTGAAAGAGCCCTGGTGATCTAGTGGTTAAAGTGCTCAGCTGCCAACCAAAAGGTCAGTGATTCCAACCCACCAGCTGCTCAACAGGAAAAAGATGCAGCGATTGGTTTCTGGGAAGATTTACAGCCTTGGAAACCATCTAGGATAATTCTACTTTGTCCTATAGGGCTGCTAAAAGCCAGAGTCAATTTGATGCCATAGGATTTGGGTTTTTAGAGAATGAAGGTTAAGTAACATTTTTTTTTCTCCCTAATATTTCTATAGAAAGACTATAAGAGAGACCTGGAACTAGAAGTCAAGGGAAGAGGTCTGAATGCGATGGCTAATGAAACTCCAGACTTTATGCGGGCCAGGAATGCCACCGATATCGCCAGTCAGGTCAGTGTTACTGTGCGATGTCAATCTGTCAAGAAAATAGTTGGGGTTACAAAGGCAAAATACTGCCACTCTATTGTCTTACTTGGAGTTCTGGTGTGGCACTGTAGGATAAGCACTGAATTGCTAGCCACAAGGTCAGCAGTTCAAACCCACCAGTCACTCCTTAGAAACCCTCTAGTGTCATTATGAGTTGGAACCAACTTGATGGCTCTTAACAACAATTTCTTTACTTGTTGGTCACTGATAGTCAATTGTAAACAATGACAATCAAGTGTCTTGAACAGACATCAACCTGGTGGAATCCAATGGAAGGACAGGACCCTTATGCAGAGAAGCAGCAACAGATGGAGATGGAGGCAGAGATGTGGACATGGAGAGAGGGAGCAACTGAGGACTCTAGATTCATGGAAAGGGAGGGACTTAGAGCTGGGGTCCAGGAGGCAGGCTTGCAGAATGTGCCGTTTAGTGGTATAAATTATTATATATTCCTGAGTGTTTGAAAAAAAAAAAAGCTAAAATGAAAAATGAATAGAGAAAAATACTGTAAACTGATGGTACATGGAGGGGATTATAATCATTGTAATGAAGCAAAGTATATTATTTGTTGAATGTAAACTGATGATCTGCCCTGTAAATGTTTACTCAAATCAAAACACAAACTTTTTTTTAAAACAAGAAAGGGCAGGGCCCTTTGTCAAGTCTGTTTTTATCTGCCTTTCTGGATCGGTAGCTACTGGGCAGAAGTTGAGGAACCAAACAGCTGCTTACAGGTGGGACTGACCCTGACCTCTTGGCCCTGTTTCTTGGTCAATACCCTCTTCATTTGGCACCCAGAATTCTACATTTAAAATATGTTGGGGTTCTTTCTTTCCTTCCTAAGTTTAGAACTTGGTTTGTAAAGATTCTGCTTTGTCTAATGCTAACTGGTATGTATCTTTTGCTTAATTTTCATTCTCCCAGCTCTTATATCTACAGCCTAAGCTTTACTATCTGTTGATGACCTTTCTCCTTACCCATACCACTGTCTTGACCCCACTAGATAGTAAGCGTCTCAACAACTAGAATCCAATCTAGTCTTCTTTAGTATAATGTTTAAACACAATAGGAAAAATGTCTGGAAAAGAAATACTGATCATCTCTTAATCAAATCATGCCAAGAATTGTTGTACACATTGTAAACATCTACCCAACTGTTAGGTGTTCTTCTTTCGCAGATTAAATATAAGCAATCAGCAGAAATGGAAAAAGCTAATTTCACCTCCGTGGTTGATACTCCAGAGATCATACATGCCCAACAAGTGAAGCACCTTTCAAGCCAGGTAAGCATATTCATACGCATCACTCATACGCTCAGGTTGTGAAGACCAATCCTTAATACCTAAGGATGTTCTTTCAGATCACTGCTTTGTCCAATAAAAAGTAAGGGATTCCTCTATTATGTGTGTTTGAGCTAGAGCTAAGATTTTTACATCAAAATTAAAATGAATTCAAAAACTTTTACATAATACAAGTCACAAGTAATGAATTCATAGTTTAACATGTCAAGTGTGATAATGTGGATATAAGATTTATGTACAAATCTGGAAGAAACAAAGTAGAGAAACCAAACTGAACCCCCCAATCTGTTTAATGAGATTGAGGTTTTATTATCAACAGTATCCCCATAATTTAACCCAATTCCTCCATTGATGGGTGACCCTACCTCTTATTAAAAGTACTGAAATGAAGAAAAGTAGGATATTCTTCATGTATCAGGATATGCCTTATTTGTTTTCATCTTCAGTGATTTCTGGTGCCTTTTAAGTGTTCGATTATTAGCCAGAAAGGTTAATGGTTGAAACCCACCAAATTCTTATGAAAACAGGCCTAGTGATCCAACTCTGAGAGGTCACAGCCTTGAAAAATCCGTGGCTAACAGTTCTACTCTACACAAGTGGAATCACCGTGAGTCAGAACCCACTAACCAGCAACTAATAAGAAACTGCAGGCCTGGGCTTTAATACAAACAGTGGTGAGCTGACTTAAATATTCAGGATACTAAATTCAGTCCTGGTGTGGCACTGTAGAATAACACTGGACCACAAGATCAGTTTGAGCCATAAGGTCAGTTGTTCAAACCCACCTGTTGTCGCTCCTTGGAAATTCTACACGGGGTGGCTGTGAGTTGGAACTGACTCAAGGGCACCTAACAACAACAAATTCAGAATTCTCCATAAGTCACAGAGTATGGGCTTTCTTCTCTCAGGAAACCCTGAGCTCCACATACAAATTCATCACTTTTCTTGCAGTGACTGCCAACCAGTTGAGGTGGCTTTTGCTTAATCTTAAATGTTAAAAAAAAAAAAAAAAAAAAAGAAAGAAAGAAAAGGATTGGTTCCGTTCTTCATGCAGGACAATGAGACCTATTTCCCTAACATTTACATAACTATGAAGAATCTCTCAGGGGATTTTTTTCCTGAACAAGGAGCCTGTGCTGCAGGGACCCTCCCTTTCCTTCAGGAAATAGGGGGTGGAGGGCAGAACAATCTTGGCTCTATCGGTTTCCTGTAGTTGCTGTTAAATGCCATTTCAACTCATTATGACCCTGTATAGCGTTTCCAAGGAGCAACTGGTGGGTTTGAACCTCTGACCTTGCAGTTTGCAGTCTAGTGTTTATCCTATAAGTACTACAGGACTCTGGTTTCCTGTTAGATGAGCAAAATCTACACTGAAATCTCTTGTTAATTGAAACCGTTCCTTTTTTTTAAGAAATTAAAATTTTGAATACTTATGAGTGTAATTCATACTCGATAAAATTTGGATAGATAGACATAAGAAAGGGAGAAGGAAAGAAGGGAGCGAGGGAAAACAGGAGGTGGTGAGGAGAGGGAAGAATGGGAGAAAGAACAAATAGTGATAAAGTAGCCCATCTCTTTCCGTAACTCTTGTCCCTTTACACCAGAACTTCTCAGAAAAGGGGAGGGGGGGGATTGGAGTTACATAAAGGTGAAAAGGCATTGTAACAAATGATAAATGAAAAATAAGGGCTCTAAGAACAAATATTCTGCAGCACAGAATAACTGGAGACAACTCGTTCAGTCTGGGAGATTTACCCGTGTAGTTGTCTAGGGGGAACAGCTGCCCCTGTGGACATGGGCTCTGGCTGGGAAAACACAAGGAAAAGGGATCACTTGTTGAGAAGCAATCCTTGGCTGGTCAGTTCTGAACTGGTTGCTTACAGTGGCAGCCCCAGGTTTGTCTGTTTAGAAAAGTCCCCTGTGTGTGTTCTGGAAACCCCTTCTGAGCCTGTCTAGCTGCTCAGTCCTGCAGCCCTGAACCCCAGCCACACCTGCTAATAGTTCATCGAAATCTTAATGTTACTAAGTCCTGCTCTTAAACCACTTCTCTCCTCCTGCCTTTGGAATACTCTGTTTCCTGACTAAATGATTCCATCCAGTTCAGTGAAGCGTATAGCCATACTAGGTACCTCCATCTCCCTGCCAGGATCCTCCTTGGCTATAACTCCCTTCCTTGGACCATCAAGCAGGGGTCTCTCTCTGCCAGATTCATCTCGACACTGGGTCCTATTAAATGCCCTGTCTCAGTTCTTCTTCACATCTATTTCCAGAAAAAGTACAAGGAAGATGCTGAGAAGTCCATGTCATATTATGAGACTGTTTTGGACACTCCAGAGATACAGAGAGTACGGGAGAACCAAAAGAACTTCAGCCTTGTAAGTTTTCATTGTATCTGGGAACAGGTGGGATCAGGACATGACAGAGCACAGACACTTGTGTATCCCACTGCTGCAGTGGTGCCCGGGGACTCTTCATATTTCCTCTCCATGCCCCAACAAATGAGGTCTTGATTTGTCTCATTCTCCATACCAACGCCAAACCACAGCAGAAGGCTTCCTACCATTATAGTGGTGAACCTATTTTTTCACCTTTAACCCTACACAAGGGATCCTAAAATATAACCAAATTTGAGACATTATAAATGTTAAGAGTTTTTAAATTTAGTTTCCCCACAAAATGTTTACACAATTTATCTGTGACTATCAGACCCGTGATCATTGTGACATAGATAGACATTTTTTCTTTTAAACACAAGACTTTAACCCCCTTTACATAACATAGGACAATAATATATATATATGGATGTTGAAATTGTAACAAGATGTTTACTCTTTCTTCATAGCTCCAATACCAGTGTGACCTTAAAAACAGTAAAGGAAAAATTACAGTTGTTCAAGACACACCAGAAATACTGCGTGTTAAGGAAAATCAAAAAAATTTCAGCTCGGTATATTTACTATTTCCTTTCCATTTAATACTAAACTAATAATTCCATATTCCACTTTAAAAACTGCTAGCCTGATATTATTCAGACTATTAACATCTAACCTCCCCAGTTAATGCTAGTGGTTATTTGTAAAATTTTCACACTTTGTTCCAAAATCATCACTCCAGAAACCAATTGAAATAACAACTTAAAACTGCTAACCAAACACATTGTCTTTCTTTTTAATTTTTTAATCCCAATGCAATAACATGTGTTCTCCTGCTCTAGGAAGATGGACTTCTTTATGAAATGATGATTTATTTTCTTATACTTCCCCAAAATAACTGACTGATTTATCATTTCTTTAATGGATGTTGCTTCATGTGGCAGTGTTTTCTTTTAAATCATTTTCTGATTTTTCTCATCCTGTTTTCATGTGGTAAAATAACCTTAAAAGAAATCTCAAGATTTAGAAGCTGATTCATGATCTAGCAACTCTCTGAGATACCCCTGGAAGATGTCAGATGCAATGCTTGGGCACTTGCCTAAGAGCAGTCTCAAGAATCTTTTGTTTTCCCGAAGGCATGTTTCCTAGTCTTTCTTCAGGATTTGCTGGGTTTTCCTTCCTTCTGTGTAACACTGTCCTGATTCTGAATACCCAGGTTTTATATAAAGAGGATGTCTCACCAGGAACAGCAATTGGAAAGACACCTGAGATGATGCGAGTAAAACAGACCCAGGACCACATCAGCTCGGTAAAGACACATTGGACACTCTTTCAGTATTTTCTCCCAGTGTAATTGACACTGATATTTGAGCTTCACTCAAAGCCATTGTCACCAGTAATAACTTAAATTGCTAAAATAGATGCTCGGTGTATACCATTAGGACAATTCATCTCATATTCAGAGCCCTGTTGCGGCTGTTTTCACAAGGGAGAGCTTAAATACAGAAAACAGAAAGGATTGTAAAAAAGAAGAATCTGTTAGAAAGTACCAAGCATCAAGCTTACTGGACACATGTAGGTATGTGTATATGTTGTTGTTGTTGTGTGCCGTGGAGTCGGTTCTGACTCATAGCGACCCTGTACAGGGTTTCCAAGGCTGTAAATCTTTACAGGATCAGAAAGCCTCGTCTTTCTCCTGCGGAACAGCTGGTAGTTTCAAACTGCTGACCTTGCGGTTCGCAGCCTGATTCATAAACACTATGCTACCAGAACTATATATATATATATATATATATTTGTTGTTGTTAAGTGCCATCGAGTCGGTTCCGACCCATAGCGACCCTGTACAGGGTTTCCGAGGCTGTAAATCTTTACAGGAGCAGAACGTCTCATCTTTCTCCAACGGAAAAGCTGGTAGTTTCGAACTGCTGGCCTTAAGGTTCATAGCTCGATTTGTAACCATTATGGTACCAGAGCTGGTTCAAGGCCACCAGCTGCTCCATGGGAGAAAGATAAGACTTTCTGCTCCCCCAAAGATTTAGTCTTGGAAACCGTATACAGGGTTGCTATGAATTAGAACTGACTCCATTTTAACAACAGCAACATGTAAGGGATGCTACTTCAGGTATAGAAGCCCTGGTGGCTCAGTAGTTAAAGCACTTGGCTGGTAACCAAAAGGTGAGTAATTCGAAGCCACCAGCTGCTCACCATGGGAAGATGTGGCGGTCTGCTTTGGCCACTGCTGTTGAATAGATTCTGAATGATTGCAGCCCTATAGAACAGAATAGAATTGCCCCATAGAGTTCTAAGGTTGTAAATCTTTACAGAAACAAACTTCCTCATCTTTCTCCCACAGAGTGGATGGTAAGTTTGAACCACCAACTTCTCTTCTAACAGACTAATGCTTAACCCACTGTACAACCAGGGCTCCTTTTGTAAAGATTTTTGTTGTTAAGTGCCATCGAGTCACTTTTGATTCATAGCAACCCTATGTAGGGTTTCCGAGGCTTTAAATCTTTGCTGGAGTGGAAAGCTTCATCTTTCTCCTGCAGAGCTGTTGGTGGGCTCAAACCACTGACTTTGTGGTCCACAGTCCAGTGCTTACTAGAGCCTTGGGAATCTTCTGGGGCAGTGGTACTCTACCTCACAGGGTCACTTGATTTGGAATTAACTGGATAGTAATGGATTTCTTTTTGTTTAGTGGAAGTACGGACCTTCTCACCTCTGCCCCCAAAGAGGCAAGAGCGAGTAGAGGAGCCATTTTTCTCAGAATCGTTCTCCTTCAACTCAGTATGAGAATTTGGCCTCTTTCACACTATGTAGTTTGTGAATCGTAAGGTGATGGTTCAAACCCACCAGCTGCTCCTTGGAAATCCTACACAGGGCCGCTATGAGTTGAGATCTATTCAGTGGCACTTAACAACAACATTACATACAGTGCATGTGCTATTGAAACTATTGTATTAAAACTTTGTGGAATCATTTGGAAAAAGACCATGCTGATGGTTGTATATGATGAATGTAATCATGCCATGGAATTGTACAAATAAAACATGTTGAATGTTTTATTATGTATATTTTTACCACACACACACAAACACACACAAATTGGGGGTTACTAATTAGACAATGAGTCCTGGTGTGGCACTGTGGGTTTATGCGTCAGACTGCAAAGTCGTTTGAACTGCAAGCTCTGTGGTTCAAGCTCACGGGCTGCTCCTTGGAAACACTATAAGGGTCACTATGGGTCGGAATCGACTCGACAGCACTTCACAATACAACAACAATTAGACAATGGAATCCTGGTGTGACACTGTGGGTTAATGCAAAGTGGTTTGAACCTCAAAGTTTGCATTTCAAGCTCACCACCTGCTCCTTAGAAACCCTATACAGGATCACCATAGGTCAGAACCAACTCAGCAGCACTTAACAACAGCAACAACAATTAGACAACAAAATCCTGGTGTGGCGTTTTAGGATAATGTACACAGGACCTCAAGGTCAGTTTGAACTTCGTCGGTGGTTCAAACTCACCAGTTGCTCTTTGAGAACCCTATACAGGGTTGCTATGAGTCGAAACTAACTCAACAGCACTTTAAAAAATTGTGACAGCACATACATATTGGGAAAAATAGTATCTAGCATGTACTAATGCCTCGATGTCTTATTTTTCTATTTGCAGGTGAAGTATAAGGAAGCAATTGGACAAGGAACTCCAATTCCTGACTTGCCTGAAGTGAAGAGGGTCAAAGAGACACAGAAGCACATTAGCTCGGTAGTGGCCCCTATTTTCAGCTTGCATTTGTGTGACTGACCACCTTTCAGTTGCTGATAGGGCCACTTATGCCTTCTCTCTCATACCAAGAGTTTTCCATGCCTGGGGGATGGTGTGAGTTTTGGTGGTGGTGGTTATGTGCCGTGGAGTCAGAACCGACTCATAGCAACCCGGTACAGGGTTTCCAAGACTGTAAATCTTTATGGGAGCAGAAAGCCTCATCTTTCTCTCGCGGAACTGCTTTTAAGGTCAGTAGTTGCAAACTGCTGACCTTAAAGTTTGCAGCCCGATTCGTAACCACTACACTACCAGAGCTCCTTTGTAGCATAGTGCTTAAGCACTTGCTCGCTAACTAGATGGTTGCAACCCACCAGCCACTCCACTGGAGAAAGATGTCTGATTCCATAAAGATTTACCGCTTTGGAAACCCAATGAGGATAGACCTACAGTCCTCTGTCCTAGAGGATCACTGTGAGTTGGAATTGATGTTTCTGAAGGTGATGTTTTGAGTCCTCTCTCCATCCTGAAGATGCACCCAGGTTATAAACACAAAAATATTGAAGTCTATGCAGACTTCTCCTTTCCCTTTCAAGATTTCTATTTTTTCTGCACAAGGAGTCTTGGTGGCACAGTGGTTAAGCACTCAGCTGCTAACAGAAGATCAGTGGTTTGAACCCACCAGCCACTGTGAGAGAGACCAGTGTGGCAGTGTGCTTCCATAAAGATTGTGGTTCTGACTCATAGCAACCCTGTATAGGATTTCCAAGGAGCGACTGGTGGTTTACAGCCTTGGAAACTTAACGGGGCAGTTCTATTCTGTCCTATAGAGTCCCTATGAGTCAAACAAGACTCTATGACAGTAGAATCGGGTTTTTGGTGTTTGGTTTTGTTCTGCTGCTCAGTCCCTGGATTTTGGGAATGGTTAACATGCTTGGCTGCTAACTGAATGTTTGGAGGTTTAAATCTACTCAGAATTACCTTAGGAGAAAGGTCAGATGATCTTTCTGAAAATTCAGTCATTGAAAACTCTACGGAACATAGCTCTACTCTGACATAAAAAGGGGTGCGATGAATAAGAGTCAATGTGATGGCTATAGGGAATAATCACCCAATTAGCAATATATGCATGGGATTACTCGTGTTTACTTACTTATCTGTAGTGAGTAGTTTCAAATGAGTCTTAAGAGCCAGCCTACTTGTGAAACTGTTAACTATAAATTAGCAACTAAGCACAGGTAAATCCATTCTTACCTTGCTTACTAAACACCCTGCCCTGTCAGGGTTTGTAAATTTGCAGAGTCTTTGACTCTGCAGAAAGGTGCTGTAGGATTGGGTGGGAGACAGATGCCAGTCAGACCTAGAAGATGAGTCTTTGTTGTGGCGAAAAGATGTGAAATGGTCCACTACAGATTAGTAAGTAAGCCCATGCTTACCTTGTTTATTGAGAAATTGGACACTGAGAACAACTGGTTATTTTCTGCTCTCTCCTTGTGAGTGCAATACATATTTAAGGTACTGGCTATTTACCTGCCCATGTAGTGTATTACATAGTAAGCCTATTCTGTAATAGGAATTTGGGGCACCTGTGAAGTGTGTGTGTGTGATCATGCTAGCAAACATTTCTCCTGAACTGTCAGGTAAGCCCACCTTTGCTCTTCCTCCCTCCCCTACATATAATCAGATTCTACTGTTACTGTTACTCTTGCTACTAGCAAGAGACCAGGTGAAGTTTGGGTTAGGGTTTATGAGCAGTAAAAGTTAAGGAGCTTGGTCTTAGAGATTTCCCTAGTCACTGGAGGACCAAACTCTCATGTGATTTCCATTAGAAGCTACTTGCTCTTGCTCTTGCTGGTCACTCATGTTATTTTAATTGCATTCCTTTTTGACTTCTTGCTATACTCGGATTCCTTTGTAATACAAATTTTACTTTGAGTTTTATGTCCACTAATACAAGTGTTCTGGTGTGGCACTGTAAGATAATCACTGAGCCCAAGGTCAGCAATTCAAACTAAATAGCTGCTCCTCAGAACACTATACAGGGCCCCTATGGGTGGGAACCAACTGGATAGCCAGCACTTAACAACAACACCAACAACATAAGAAGAAATTCCTTTGTGTTATTTGATATCCTTTCATGCCTTTTTCTGATTTTTGTTGTTTTTGTTATCCATGATTATTTCTGTGCCAAGGGCAGGGAGATGGGGGATCAGAGTAAAGAAGCACACCAGTGTTACCAAAATGGTAGCATTTTAAAGATTCCTAACGTTTATTTTCTAGCAAAATAAGGAGATTGCCACTATGCTGCCATTCAATTTAGGAAGCCATCTGTGACCCAAGTCCCTAGGTTTTCTATAACTCTCTCCACTCCATTCAGGAACACAACATAGAATCCATCTATCAAAGAAGAATGATGACTAAAAATTCTTGTTAACATTGACAGGGAAGGAAAGAGGAGGAGACCAGAGACTTAAGTGAAGTTTCTTTATGCATTTCATTAAGATTCACAGTCAGATGATAAAACCAAATACCAAACCAATTGCCTTTGAGTCGATTCCAACTCAAGGCACCCATATGTGTGCCAGAGTAGAGCTGTGTCCCATAGGGTTTCAATGACTGCCTTTTTGGAAGTTGACCACCAAGCCTTTCTTTCACTGTACCACTAATCTATAGGGATTTCCTGATTAGAAAACACTAGTTTACATGATCCAGAACTATTAGTAAGAAATTCAGGGAAAGAACCTTCTTAAAAAATAAATTGCTCAGATCTCCTTGGTAGCACAGTGGTAAAGCACTTGGCTGCTAACTAATAGGTTCAAATCCAACTTTGCCATGGGAAAATTATTTAGCAATCTGTTTTGTAAAGATTGTAGCCTTGAAAACCTAGGGGGCCAATTCTAGTCTATTCTTTAGGGTTGCTATGAGTTGGAATCAACTCGACAACAATGGGTTTGGTTTTGGTGCCAGTTAAGACTTTTCATTAGATAACAAAGTAAACAGTAAATTTTCAGCAACCTTGAAAGAATATAGTATCATGTGACAAGAAAAATTCAAAATTAAGGCAGCCTATTTACAAATTTTTGAGAACCTGCTACATTCAACACACTAAATTCATATTATTTGATTCTTTATCACCATTTGATAGTTAAGAATGTGCTTGACTATATAAAATGCATAGTTTGGTACCTAGTTGTCAAGGTAGTAAGATTGTTACTTTTATAAGAAAGAACATTCTTAGAGTGTCATATTTGAAAATTGGATTGCTTTTATGGTACAAATGACTTTCCAACAAATAGCCCACATGTATCAGTAGTCTAAAGGATCCATGATCATTTTACCTTTTTTGGTATTCTATTTACCTTCTACAGGTTATGTACAAAGAAAACTTGGGAACAGGCATACCAACCTCCGTCACTCCAGAGATTGAGAGAGTCAGACGCAATCAAGAAAACTTTAGCTCGGTATTTACACATATATATCAAATAAGAAACTCTTGTGCCCCATAAAAAAATTGACCAGAATAACCCATCATCCTTTCACAAAACGTAACATCCTAACAATTTTATGGGTGTGTATGTGTGTTGTTATCTACCAGACCAAATCCTTCTGGATTTATATAGAGACTCACTTTTCTGATTATACTTTAACATTTCGGCGAGTGACAAGTGTGACTACTTAGATCTGAAGTCCTGTAAATAGAATTAACACAAGACCCTTCACCATTGTGCCCACATCCTGATTGAAAAATGAATGCAAAACATTATCCTTACTAAAAAAAAATTACCCCTCTCACAACCCCCTCCCCAGTTTCCTTTCTTCCCTAATCTTTGTACCTGTCTTGAGGGTCTCCTGGGTATTTTTTGTATCTCACAGGTTTTATACAAAGAAAATTTGGGGAAAGGAACCCCAACACCTATAACTCCAGAGATTGAGAGAGTCAAACGCAATCAAGAGAACTTTAGCTCGGTATTTCATAGGGGGCAAAAATTCTTATTTGAAATAATATTTTTAACCCATCGCCAATATGGGAATCTTCTGCCTATAAAATTACTAAATTTGCATAATGAAAATAATGACATCAAATATGACCTCAGTTTTCAACTCTAATTTAGTATTCACTTTAGTGCTGGTGTGAATTTTTAACTGTGTTTCCTAAAACTTAGATATTGATCACTTCCCTTAAAAACCTGTAATACTCAGATTTCCTTTCTCCAGTCTTCCTTTAATAACAGTAGGCATTTCTAACTGGTGTGGACCAAATTCAAAGTAAAATCTAACATCCTTTCCAACGGAGAATGTTCATTGGGATTTTGTTTGTATTTATCATTGCTACCTTTGACATATTCTTTGCATTTATAGCTTTTATGAAAAGAATGTTGGTCTCTAAACATTTTCATTCAAAAGATGACATAGCGATTCACATTAACATAGAAATACAAATTTACTGGTCTCAGCAATATTTTTGTAGAGCATGCAAGGTATAAATGAGCTTTTTAAAAAAAAAATCAGGACCATTGAAAAGATAATATTTATTTAGGCTTTAATCATTATTAGTAAAACATATTAATATTTATTTTGAACCCCAAAATTATTCTTTTAAAGCTTTTGATTTCCTAATTTAGCTTAATGACATCTAGTTGTACAGTGGGTTAAGCATTGGACTGCTAACTGAAAGGTCAGCAATTCCAATTCACCAGCTGCTCTAAAGGAGGAAGATGAAATGACAGGCTCCCATCAGATTGGCAGCCTAGGAAGTTCTGAGAAGCATTTCTCCTCTGTCCTGTAGGGTTGCTATGAGTCACATTCAACTCAATGGCAGTGACTTAATTTAGTGTTACCAACACGATTAACTGGAATTCTATTTGATACAAATAGCCTCATCTTTCTGTCTTTGAAAGAAGGCCAATACACCTACTATCTACTGACATAGTTTCCAAAGACAAATTGTTAAGTAAAAACCAACATTATGTAAAAATGGAGGCTGGTCACATTAAATCACAAAAAGGAGGCTGACTACTTCATCTTATAGCTGCTAGACCACTGAGAATCATTTTTCAGCCAAGGGACAGAAGATTTTAACCACAAAAGCCAAACTTACTTTGGACTCACACCTTGACTTTCATTACTGCCAGACATACATCCTTAATGCACAAAATAGTTGGATAGTTGATTTTTTTACTATTACCATAAATATGAAATGTTTAATAATGAGATAGTTGGCAAGTGAAGAGTAACTATATTAACTCAACCCACTACTGCCTACAGTCTGGCAGCCATGTATGTATGTATTAATGCCACTTAGACACAAATGTCTACCTTACCAATGCCCAACACTGGTGCATAGCTGCTCTATTTGTTTAAATAGTTTAAGTCTATTTTACTTCAGCTTAACAACAGAATACTTTTAGAGACAACTAAAGGCTAAGTCTAGCTAAAAGATGAGCCCTGGCTGATTTGATTGTTGGTTTTGTGCACACAGATATTATACAAAGAGAACTTGAGCAAGGGGACCCCGTTACCTGTCACTCCTGAGATGGAGCGGGTCAAACGCAATCAAGAAAACTTTAGCTCGGTATTTGGGAGAAAGTTCCCATTAACTCCATATTTAAAATAATAATAATAACTTTTATAAAAGAAAACTTCTCACTATTAGTCCTTTTAAAATAATCAACTTAACAAACTCCTTTTTTAAAAAACTCTCATGGTCTGAATCCTTCCTTTTTTAAGACCTTGTACTCACCATTTGATCCTAACATCTTATACCTTCTATAATAGACCCTTAAAACATTTAATGGGTTCCTTTCCTTCCCTTTTCACCCTTTATGTTTCTGCTGGGACTTCCTAAGTTAACTGTTTTTAAAAATCAAAAAACAACTACTGGGGGCAAAAACAAAAACAACAACCACTGAAGTTTTATTTATGTGGAACGCTTTTTATTTGGTGTTTCTACGTTAGCTAATGTTGCAAGAAAAGATAAAGGTCTTGAAGACATTTGTAGAAATAGTGGTTTTGCTTGAGAACAGAGGTCACCTTAATCTTGTCTAAACAAACAGCAGTACCAAGAAAAGAAACCAGTTCAGTATCGAAGCTCAAACAACTTCACCTTTTTGCTTGTTCTAAGCAAGTCATTTCATGAATAGAAATCCAGTCCTTCTAAAGTTTTGAAATATTTAAATCAGTCTGTGAGTTTGCATTTAATGCTGTTTTCGGGTTTTTAATTAATATTGTTGTTGCAAAAAAGCTTGGTAATACCAAAACATCTGTAAAATTATCTATACCACGAACTTAGGTTGATTTATGCCTAAAATGGAGAATCAAATGTCAGTAGTAAAAATTAGCTGGATTTTTTGAGGGGTTTAAAATCATAATCCAAAATAATTTTTAATGGTCAATTTAAATATCTTCTAAAAGTTAGGATTTTTTTTTCATATTAGAGCAGTAACATTTTTTGTTTTGTCTTTTTGTTTCATTTTCCTTTCATTTTTATTTACTAATCACTTTTCAATTTCGTTAAATTTTCAATGTAAGTTCATATGTCTTTTGGAATGTTTAACCACTCTTTTCCTTGTTTGGGTTCTTTATTATTTCTTATCGTTGTTGTTGTTAGATGCTGTCGAGTTGATTCCAACTCTTAGCAACAGAAGGAAATATTGCCTGATCCTCTGTCATCCTCACAATCATTGCTGTGTGAACACAGTGCAGCCACAGTGTCAGTCTATCTCATTGAGAGTCTTCCTCTTTTTTGTTCACCCTCTACTTTACCAGCCAGGACATCCTTCACCAGGTTGCCTGCTGTTAACATAGACACAGTACTTGAGATGAAGACTCGCATTCCTGGCTTTTAAGGAGTCATTCTGGCTGTACTGCCTTCAAGATGTATTTGTTGGTCCTCGTGGCAGTCCATGGTATATTCGGTATTCTTTTCCAACACCATAACTCAAGCGACAATATTCATTGTCTGCTTCCAAATGCATATATGGTGATTGAAAATACCATGGTTTGGATCAGGTACACCTTAGTTTTTTCATAGATTCCAAAAATTACTTTCCTATATTTTCTTCTATATTAAAGTGAAGGTGTTATTGTTTGCACTTATTTGAAAACTGTAATCATCCTGATGACCGTTTGAATTTATTTTTACACAGGTTGCATTTAAACAAAATCGTCCAGTAATGTATAGAACCGTTTTAGATACTGCAGACCATAAACAGGCTGCATATTTGAACTGAACCTCTCTACACACTGAATTTACTTACTCAACAAAGCTCAATTTTGCCATGTTGCTTAGATTTAGCCTGGGGGTGGTGTTAAATATGTTATACTGTAAAAGAAACAGTCTTCTTAGAGAAAATAAATATTTGCCAATTCCTATTTTTTAAAAGGAATTTTTTATTGTAGATGAGGCATTTTGGTGCTTTTATGAAATTATTTGTAGATTTTTAAATTCAATTCCTGACATAGGAAATAAACATTTACATGAGTTTGAGATAAAAGTTGAATATCAAATGCCCTGGCACTTCAGTGAGGAAGTATGAAACTAGTTCTCACCTGCAAAGAGAGGTTGACTTTCCTGTCTGGTGTCTGCAGTTCATCTCTGTGAAGTAGAGGAAAGGGCTGTCTTGACTGCTCTTGTTTTTTCTGGATGCTTTCTTGTGTCCTACAGGTGTTGTATAAAGAAAACCTTGGGAAAGGGACCCCGATTCCCATCACTCCAGAGATGGAGAGAGTCAAACACAATCAAGAAAACTTTAGTTCGGTATTTAAAAAAACAAAAAACAAAAAAAATCCTTTAACTTAAAAAATAAAATTAATGGCTAGATTTAAAAATTCTAATCAACTTATCCAAATAAAAACATTGACACGTCTTGTTCTCAACTTAATGCTACCGTTTCCCATGAATCAGTTTCCCTAATTTGATTAAACATTAACATATTCATTCAATTTTTCAAAAAGTATTTATCATTATATTTAAGCTCTTAAAAAATGTAACATTCACATGTATCCTGCTTTGGCAAACTTGATGTGAACCTAAAGCTTACAAAAATTTATTCTGCAAAGGTCAAGCTTTTGGCCTCATTTCCTATACTAACCTTCTCGTCTCTACTGGTATTGGTACAAATAGTTTATAATTTCTTATTTTAGCATCCTGTGGTTGCTCTCCATTTGCCTTAAAAAATAATTCTTCCCAATATGTTCCCCCAAACTAAAAATCAAATACGTTGACTTCTTCTGAAAGTCAACAAAAGATTTGTGTGCGTGTATGTATGTACTCCCATCTTTATAAACCTCAAACATCCGTATGTGGTTTATAATAACATTTCCAATGCAAAAATAGCTTCCTTGGTTTTGTTTCTCTCTTCTTTTTTGAGTTCCTGACCCTCACACCTTGTAACAAGCTGGATAAAACTAATTGTTCCCTTTCACAGTGATCTTCTTTACCTAGATGCTACAGAGATTAGCTCAAACAATAACAAAACATTCTTTTCGTGTTTCTTAGTTGCTGCTCTCTTTCCTGCATCCCCTTGCTTCTAGGGATGTCATTGGGCTCATACTGGTTGGGTCGTCAGGCTTCTGGTATTGCCTTTCCTCTAACTTCTCTTCCTTTCTCATCTCCCTCTCCCAACCTATGCCAAAGAGGGAAAAAGGTTGATTGCTTTTTGTTCTGGATGCTTTCTTATCATACAGGTGCTCTACAAAGAAAACCTGGGGACAGGGATTCCAATTCCCATCACTCCTGAGATGCAGAGAGTCAAACACAATCAAGAAAATCTTAGCTCGGTATTTTGCAAACAAAGGGGAAACAAGATGACAAGATGCCACTTAATCTCATACTTAACTGGATTCTTAACATTTCTTCTGTTTTGGTTTTTTTTTTTTTTGAACCCACTTTCCTTCCTTTGCTTTTAATAGCGCTCACTTAGCAACAGGACAAACTTTCTCATTTCTATGATAACCATTAAATGTTCTAATTTTTTATTTCAGTTCATTCTGATTTTTCTTTCACCTGATACTTCTAAACACTTTTTTAAAATAGCGAGTCTTTTTGGTTGGTTGGGTAACAGCAAAACCAATTTCTAATCTTCTCAGATCACCATGTGATTCTTTAGAAGGTAGGTGCTCATAGAAATGAAAAAATAACATTGATAACTCCGACAGCCTTTCTGCAGTAGCTGAGGTTCTTGCTGCTCTATAGGGGTAAATTTCCCCATCCCAGTAATGGCTTCGATTAGAGTAGTATGTGGCATCTTGTCAGCATATAACTCCTAGCTTCTTGGAACACCAGTACCATTTTGTAACAAAGAAGTTGAATTCACATTTAAAACTTCACAACAAATGAAAAATGTTACTTATGGTTGTTTTTCTGGATGCTTTCTCACCACACAGGTGTTATACAAAGAAAATATGGGCAAGGGAACCCCTTTACCTGTCACTCCAGAGATGGAGAGAGTCAAACACAATCAAGAAAATATTAGCTCGGTACTATGGCAAGAAAAGAAAAAAAAAAAACTTGCTTTTTAATGGGTTTAAAATAATATATATTAATCCTACTTTATAAAAACAGCTTAAATTTTGTGAATTTCTTTACCACATTTATCCTTCTTTCCTATAGAGCTACTCCTAGTCTTAACATAATAACATGATTGCTTTAATTCATAACTTAAAATTCTAATATCTGGAAGTAACAGATTTTCCTATAAAACATCCTTTCACTCATCTCTCCCCAAAGTGCCTTTGTTTTACATGCTTGTGAAATTTGGGGTGGGGATGTGTGGTGGCATAATAGGTGTAATGGATTCTTTCTTGAACATTTTAGTTGTGCTTTCATTGTGTCTTTGTGTCCATAACTTCATGTTCTATTTCACCCTGTCAGACTTAGACAAAGAAACCTTGGGCAAAAATAACCCCTGTTCCTTCCCTTCAAGTATAATGATATGAATTAAGATACAATAGTGGTTTGGATATTGGATTGTCAATTTATTTTAAAAAGTAAAGTGTCAATAGAAGTGTATTTTTGTCTTATTAATTGTAAGGTTGCCTCTTTTGTCTTTATCATGACCTTTAACTGTAAATTTTGGTAAACCATTTCCTGTAAATCTGTGCTCTGTGATATTACTATGTTTATAAAGGACTGATTATCGAGGAATTGAGGTTTGTGTAGGGAGCGCTGGTAGTGCAGTGGCCCAGCAGCCATCTACCATATTGGGAGCAGCTCCAACCTTCTCCCCAGTATTAATCGGGCCCAGGCCTATAACTCCTCATTAGATTTCCTGCCAGGTGTTTACTATTCATAGACTAGCGATAAGACAACTGTAGTCTCTGGTCTCATCTGTTTGGGGATCACTTCAGTCCTGTCTTGTAGTCATCAAGGATTTCAGGCAAGGTCCTTCCTGGAAAAGGTGTGTCTTGTTTTAACTATATTCAACCTCCTTTGGCAACATGTTCCTTTCCTTCTAACATTATTTCCCAAATGATTTGACATCCTGAGACTCATAAAAAGTGATCTGTTCTATTTTGTTTCTATCTTTGGTAACCTTAATTCTGTTTCTTTTTGGCTCTTTGGATCCAATGGGTCCCATAGGTTTTGTACAAAGGAAATTTGGGGAAAGCCACCCCAACTCCTGTCACTCCAGAGATGCAGAGAGTCAAACGCAATCAAGAAAACATTAGCTCGGTATTGTCTTTAGAAACAAAAGTGCTTTTAATTTTGCAAAGTAACCCCTGCAGTTTGGCCTGCTGCTAACCAGGTTAAAACAGACAAAATGTCAATGACATTAGAATCTTCTCTAAATATCACACTATACTTATCGTTGCCATTAACTGTTTCTAAGCTTTCTCTTTGAGAAATGTTTTAATTTCGTTTTTAACCACGTAAAGTATCTTTTCCACTTTCTCACCCCTAAATTGCATCAGTTTAATAACCTGACTGTTGCCGCCTTGTGACATATGGATACAACTTTCTATCTCACAGGTGTTGTACAAAGAGAATATGGGGAAAGCAACCCCCACACCTTTTACTCCTGAGATGGAAAGAGTCAAACGCAATCAAGAAAACTTTAGCTCGGTATTTGAGAGAGGGAAAATAAAATCACCCAAAATCTGTAAACCTTTAACAAGCCTGGCAAACTCAGTTATCCCACTAATGTATCTCACAGTTTTTTCCAAAGTTGTATGTATCTCTTAAAGTCCTTCTTTGCCCATGAAAACAAATAAACTGTAAAGCTACTCCCACCCTCTCCCACTGATTTTTCTATAACGACATTCAATTTCCTTTGAAAACATATCCCTTACCACCTAACCTTATTTCCTAAATGGTTTGGCAACTTGAGTCCCATGAAAATTTATTTGGTTCCATTTAATCCTTTCATAATTTTTCTTTTTGGCTTTTTGGATCCAAACCTTCGCTTTATAGAATAACATTTTAATGGCTTTCCTTCCTGAGGTGTTTCCTATTGAGTGTGATATAATTGAGGCATAACACCAGCTAAATGATGATCTTCAATGTGAGTGTTCTTCTCGCTGATGCCCGGATGCTCTCTTGGCTCCCTTAGGTATTGTACAAAGAGAATATGAGAAAAGCAACTTCGACACCTGTGACTCCAGAGATGGAAAGAGCTAAGCGCAACCAAGAAAACATTAGCTCGGTATTTCTAGGCTTAAAAAAGGAGTGATGCAGCAACTTGGAAAATAACATTTTAACATCATAAAAATGTACACCTTCTTATGCAACTGAAACACACACTAAAAAAAAATTCTTTTAAAGAGAGAAATGCAACATCTTGAAAAATAACATGTTAACATCATAAACGTGCATTTTTTTACTCAATTGAAAATTTACACTAAAATTAACTTAAAAATTAAATTAACATAATTTCGAGTTCCAAATGATCATACTAAGACATAACAAGTTAATTGCTGATGCTTTCTCTCCCCGGCTACTTTATTCTGAGGTAGTCTTCCATAACCAACTATAACAAATTGACTTCTAACATCCTCAGCCTCTACTTTCTTTGACTTTTAAGGTACTCTATGAACAAGGTAATACTCCGAAATGGTACCTTCTTTGGCTTTGATATTTTGAGTCTTTGGTGTCTGAACGGCTTTGATTTCTATATTAGCATATTAGTTTATGAAATGTGTACAGAAATCTGAAAAAACAAAAACAGGTCACTTGTTTTAAAGATTAGTTCTTTAAAATTCCTTTCAGTCTCACATTCAATGTCTAATACCATAGAAAATGCTGAATGTGCTACAATATCTAGCAAATTAAAGACGCTGCTTTCTCCCTTTTCCTTTCAAAATTAGGCTGTACAATTTCTCTTTTGAAAATGGAAATTACATTTTCAAAGGCAAAGCAAGTCTTTTCTTTTCTGCAGGGAACCTGATCAGTCCCCACCATAACCTGGTTCCCTGTTAGACATATGCCTGGCTAGTTCCTTTCATTTGTTCCATGCTTCCCTCACCAATTCCTACATCTACATCAGTTAGAAAGTTCTTGAGGTTTTAGAACTAGAACAACACCATGACATGTACTCATTCACGTCTCTCCTCCACCAGGTGCTATATTCTGATAGCTTCCGGAAACAAATACAGGGCAAGGCTGCCTATGTCTTGGACACTCCAGAGATGAGGAGGGTGAGGGAGACCCAACGCAACATCTCAACAGTGAGTCATGAATTCTTTAGAATTGGTTGGCTGGCTTGTTGGAATATATGAAAAGAGAAATGGTCATCTGCTCATATTTTCATCAAGAGAATTTATGAAATTTCAGGTGAAATATCATGAAGACTTTGAAAAACACAAGGGCTGCTTCACACCAGTGGTTACAGACCCTATCACTGAAAGAGTCAAGAAGAACACGCAGGACTTCAGTGATATTAATTACCGAGGTATTCAGAGAAAAGTGGTAGAGATGGAACAAAAACAACGGAATGACCAGGGTCAGGAGACTATCACAGGTAATTGAGCATGAGGGGGGAGTCACATTTTAAAGTAAAAGGTGACTAGGAGAAAAAAAGTGACATAATTTATATCAAGGTTAAGAACCTCAGTCTGCATTTTCATTAAATGGGAAAGAAAACCTCTGTCTTTTCACATTTTGCAAAGCTGACATTTTATTTTACTTTTTGTTTTGTTGTCCTCTGAGGAAGAGGTGTGAGCAGAATCTTAGATTTAAGAAACCAAAAACCTTTATTCAATTCTCCTTCTGTTGTGCAAATTTATACTTTGGTTTCTACATTACTAGAAGAGCCCAAGAGCACCTGTTCTGATCTTTAGCTTCCTATTTAGGTTTGCGTGTCTGGCGTACTAATCCTGGCTCGGTTTTTGACTATGATCCTGCAGAAGACAATATTCAGTCTCGAAGCTTACACAAGCTCAATGGTATGTTATGCTGCAAAGGTTTAGTGGGCTAGCATTAAGGATTTTTCTGATTTGAAGTTCCCATTCTCTAGGACTTTCCATTTTCTCAGTCTCCTGTTCAAATAAAACAACTAGTTGACTAGCAGGCAAAACTACATTTTCTAGACAAATTCAAGTTTGAGAAGTTTTTGTTTCATACTTCAGAGCCCCATTATTTATTTTTTTCCTAAAAGACAAAAAGGGTGGCAGTGGTATAAATCTTTCTATTGGGGAAATAATGGAAAAATACACAGGCAAAGGGAAGAGAATAAAATTGACCTTTTGCACTTTTCTGAGTTTTCTTGGGTCAGGAACAATTGTTCATTCAAAAAGCAGCATGTAAATCTTTATGCATCTGTTCATGTTAAAGTGTAGAATTATAGTCCTCAAAGGGCTTATATTCCAGTCTAGTGAGGTAGGAGATGAGTAAATTAGTAGCTATGCTCTGACATATGCACTTTTAAAGGTCTGCTTACTGAGAAAGAGCATCTATTTAGATTTAGGAGTTAGGGAAGACTCTATGAAGAAGATGAAGGTGACTATTATTATATTCCTTTGGGTGAGGCAGTGTAGAAGGAAGGAGTAGTAGCTAAGGATGGACTCTCGCATTTGAATCCTGGTTGTGCTAAGGATGATAACCATGATTAAAGAGTTGTGAGGATTTAACCCATGGAAATCCACTTAAAAGCATGTTTGGAAACAAACAAACAAAACAGAGGATTTAATTTAATGTTAAGTATTACCAACAAAACCAGTGGCCATCCAATCAGTTCCCACTCCTGGCATTCCCATATGTTGAGAGAACTATGCTCTGACTTGTGAGAATTAAATCATCAGACTTTTCTTCTGCCAACTCTACATGGACTCAAACCTTTAAGTTTCCACTGTATAATTTTTGTCTCTTTTCTCTCTCTCTCTCTCCCAATCACGTATCTCCCAGTGCAAGCTCAGCGTCGTAGCCGGGAGCAGTCACGATCAGCCAGCGCACTGAGCATCAGTGGGGGTGAGGAGAAGTCTGAACATTCTGAAGCTGCTGACCACCATCTCTCCACCTATAGTGATGGGGGCATTTTCTTCAGTGCAACTTCAACAGGTACAAGGGATTGCCCTAATGTTGATATACGAGGTCAGCTTCACTGACATTTACTAGAAAATCCTCTTGAGTAGAAAAAAATCTGGGTCTCACTTTTAATGAGAAGATCAGAACTGTTGAAGTTAGATGTTTCATTTTTACTAACTTGATTAGATGTTTGCTTCTTGGAAATCATTCTTTTTAAGCTGTGGAAAAGACAACACTGCTCAGCTCCTCTACACAGATGAAATGATGTGTAGGTACAGTTTCTCTTTATAAACTCTTTTCTCTTTCCTTTCAGCTTACAAACATGCAAAAACCACAGAGCTCCCACAACAACGGTCATCCTCTGTTGCTACCCAACAGACCACAGTATCTTCTATTCCATCTCATCCTTCAACTGCTGGCGTAAGTAAATCATAAATGACTTTCTCAACCCATTCTCATTTTTTGTTTAAATTATATATATTTAATTTTTAAATCTAAAGCAAGGTACTTTGGGTTAATTGGTCCAACCCACGATCTTAAACTAAAACATTTGTTAGTTGAACTCTTTCTTCAAGAATGAATATATGTATGTGCATATATATTGAAGAGATAATACATGTTGAAGAGATACATCAAATTATGATTACAAGTCACTAGGCTACTTTAAAACTCATAGTTTAAAACCCTGAATTCCTTACATAACATCACAGAACACAAAGCCTTACCCCATTCACCGCACAGACCTGACCACACCCATCAGACTACTTTTTGTTCCTCAAACTGAAAGGTCAGAGACAAGAAGTGTGATTTAAATCATGCAGGATACCCAAACTGCCATTTTGATGTGGTGTAAATTGGGAAGTGCAAAGTTCTCTAGAGAATGGTTACTGTTGTTGATGAGTACCATTGAGTTGGTTCCAACTCACAGCGACCCTCTGTAGGGTTTCTGAGGAGCAGCTGTGAGTTTGAACCACCAACCTTGTAGGCCAAACTGACCTTGTAGTCTCATGCATTATCCTGCAGCTCCACACACAGAGATAGAAACATGATTTATAGTTATATATAGAACATGATAGAGGCTGTATACACAGCTTCACATTTTGATCTTTTCGTTTAATAAAGTTTTCTATGATTTTGTAGCAATACTTTATGGCTTACTGTCATATATCAAAGGAGCACTAGTGGCAAAATTGCTGGGCTGTTAACCGAAAGGTTGGCGGTGGGAGCCGGTCTTAGTTATCCGCTTATTGCTAATTTCAATCAAGTTGATTCTGATTCAGAGCAACCTTACATAGGATTTCCCAGACTGTACAGGAACGAAAAGGCACATCTTTCTCCCTCAGAGCTGCTGCTTGGCTTGAACTACCAACCTTTTGGTTCACAGTCCAGTGCTTATCCCACAGATCCACCTGATCCCCTTACTAGCTATCTAGTACTGCTATAGTAGAAGTTCCACAAGTGGATGACTTGAGAAAATTGAAATTGACTTTCTCACAGTTTAGGAGGGTAGAAGCCCAAATTCAGGGTTCTGTCTCTAGGGCAAGACTTTCTCTGTCAAGTCTGAAGCAAGGTCTTTTTCTCTTCTGGGCTTCTCTTTCTCAATCTCTGCTGTGTTTCAATCTCTTATATCTCAAAAGAGATTGACTCAAAATCCACTTTACATTTACATAAATAAAGGTAAACCATTCCCAAATGGGATTACAATCATAAGCATTGTTGTTGTTAGGGGTCATAGAGTCAGCTCCCACTCTTAGCCACCCTATGCACAACACAACAAAACACTACCCAGTGCTTCGCCATCCTCACAATCATTGTTTTGCTTGAGACCACTGCTGCTGCCAGTATGCCAATGGGGTTCTTCCTGTTTTGCTGATCTTCCACTTTACCAAATACAATGTCCTTCTCCTGTGACTAGTCCCTCTGGATAATGTGTCTGAGCATGAGACATCATACTTACTGCCATCCTGGCTTATAACAAGCATTCTATCATGCATATTGCATAATATGATGAAAGAATACAACAATGGGGCACACTTTTCCTGATTTTAAGCCATTCAGTGTCCCCTTGTTCTGTTTGAGTGACTGCCTTTTGGTCTATGTATAGGTTTCTCATGACGACAAGCATAGAGATTAGGATTTTCAACACATATTTTTGGTAGATAGAATTCAAGCCATAGCAGAATCCACCAGGTGCTTCATGAGATAGCAGAATACTTGGTGACCTGCTGCAGTAAATATTTCAGTCTAGGAACCCCTTTGGGGCAGTTCTATTCTGTCCTATAGGGTCACTATGAGTGGGAATTAACTTGATGGTACCTAATACTATACCATATATATACATATGTGTGTGTGTGTATAGCTACATACTATATATATATAGAGATATATATACACACACACACACACACATGAGTGTATATATATTTATTTATACCACCAACTATATATGTATTGTTGTTGTTGTTATGTGCCATGGAGTCGGATCTGACTCATAGTGACCCTGTACAGGGCTTCCGAGGCTGTAAATCTTTACAGGAGCAGAAAGCCTCATCTTTCTCCCGCAGAACAGCTGGTAGTTTCAAACTGCTGACCTTAAGGTTCACAGCCCGATTCATAACCACTACGCTACCAGAGCTATATATATGTGTGTGTGTGCATACATATATAGTTATATATGTGTATATATATACCACCACTTCTCTGTTAGTTTGTCATTCTTATGTGTTGCTGTGATGCTGGAAGCTATAGCACCAGTATTTTCATTACCAGCAGGATTACCTATGACGTGGACATGTTTCAACAGAGGTTTCAGACTAAGACAGACTAGGTGTAAGGAGAGGAGGACCAGTTCGGAATGGCTAGCCACTGAAAATCTTATGAATAGCGGTGAAACATTATTTGATACAGTGTCAAAAGGTGAACCCCTGAGGTTGGAAGACACTCAAAATGTAGCTGGGAAAGAGGTGTTTCCTCAAAGTAGAGTTGACAATGATGTGGATGGAGAAAAGCTTTCGGAACCTTCATTTGCTGATGGGGCACAACTCAAGAAGAAACAGCAAAAAACATAATCAGAATGTGGAGTGTACAAAATATGAGTGTAGTCTAAGTGTTAAGTCATCAAAAATTAAATAGAACAAAGAAAGATCGATATCCTAGTTATTAGTGACCTGAAGGGAACTGGTATATTGGTCATTTTGAATCAGACAATCATGGTTTACTATGTTAGTAACAATTTATTAGTAGGCAAATTGAAGAGAAATGTTATCCCATTCATTGTTTAAAAAGAGCATTTCAAGATCTATCTTGATGTACAGTACTATCTGTGATAGAATAAAATCCATATATCTATCTACAAGGAAAACTAATTAATACTACTATTTACTTTTATTAACTGACCACAAAAGCCAGTGTTGATAGAATTGAAGAATTCTACCAACTTCTTCAATCTGAAATTGATCAAGCATGCAATCAAGATAAGAACCTGGTAGCATAGTAGGTTATACCTTGAACTGCTAACCTTGAACATATCCCACCTGAATTTAGAAACCATCTCAACAATAGATTTGATGCATTAGATACCAATGAGCAAAGACCAAAAGAGTTGTGGGCTGACATCAAGAACATCATGCATGAAGAAATCAAAAGGTTATTAAAAAGCAGGAAAGAAAAAAAAAGACCAAAGCGGATGTCAAAAGAGACTCTAAAGCTTACTCTTGAATGTAGAAAAGAAAGCTAAAGTAACTGAAAGAAATGATGGAGTAAAAGAGCTGAACAGAAAATTTCAAGGGGCAGCTCTAGAAGCTAAAGTATTTTAATGAAATGGGCAAAGGCCTCAGTTAGAAAACCAAAAGGAAAGAACATGATCAGCATTTCTCAAGCTGAAACAACTGAAGAAAAAAAGTCAATATTGCAATATTGAAAGACTCTCTGGGCAAAAAGAATTCTGGTGTGGCACTGTAGAATAAACAAACTGCTAACTGCAAGGTTGGCATTTCAAACCCACCAGTTGCTCTGCTGAAACCTTCCAACAGCACATAACAATGACAATAATGGGCCAAATATTGAATGATGCCGAAAGCATCAAAAGAAGGTGGAAGAAATACAGAATTACGGTACCAAAAAGAATTTGTTAATGTTCAACTATTTCAAGAGGTAGCATATGATGATAATTCAATGATATTGAAGGAATAAATCCAAGCTTCACTGAAGGCTTTGAGAAAAACAAGGCTCCAGGAACTGATGGTGTACGAATGGAAATGTTTCAACAAACTGATGTAGCACTGGAGGCACTCACTCATCTATCCTGAGAAATTTTCAAGCCAACTACCTGACCAACTGGATGAGATTCATAGTTGTGCCCATTCCAAAGAGAGGTGACCCAATGGAATGCAGAAATTATAAAACAATATCATCAATACTATATGCAAGTAAAATTTTGTGGAAGATCATTTAAAAAATGGTTGCAGCAGTGAACTGACGAGAAATTTAAACGAATTCAGAAGAGGATGTAGATCAAAGAATATGTGCTGTTGTCAGATGAGTCTTAGTTAAAAAGCAGAGAATACAAGGAAGATGTTTACTTGTGCTTTATTGACTATGTAAAGGAATTAAACTGTGTGGATCTTAACAAACTATGGATAACATTGCAAAGAATGGGTATTCCAGAAATCTTCATTTTGCTCATGAGGAACCTCTACATAAACTAAGAGGCAGACATTTGATCAGAACAAGGGGATGCTGAGTGGTTTAAATCAGGAAAGGTGTGCACCAGAGTTGTATCCTTTCATACTTATTCAATATGTAAATAACCTGAAAAACTGGATTATATGAAGAACATGGCATCAAGATTGGAACAACACTCATTAAAAACCTGCAATATGCACATGGCACAACCTTGCTTGAGAAAAGCAAAGAGGATTTTAAATATTTGCAGATGAATCCCAGAGACTAACAGCCTTTAATATGGATTGCACCTCAATGAAAACAAAATGAGTATCTTCACAAGTGGACCAATAAATAACATCATGAGAAACAGAAAAGATTAAAGTTGTCAAAACTTCATTTTGCTTAGATCCACAATCAATACATGTGGAAGCAGCAGTCAAGAAATCATATAGTATACTGCATTATGCAAATCTGCTGCACAAGACCTCTCTAAAGTATGAAAGAGCAAGAATGTCAGTTTGAGGACTGAGGTGAACCTGACCCAAACCATGGTATTTTCAATGACCTCATATGCAAGTGACAGTTGGACAATGAATAAGCAAGACCATAGAATTGATGCATTTGAGTTATGGTGTGGGGAAGAATATTGAATGTAACCTGGACTGTCAGATAAACAAATCTGTTTTGGATGTGGTGCATCCAGCTAGAATGCTCCTTAGAGGTGAGGATGACTCCTTAGATAGTGAGAGACTTTGTCTCTTATACTTTGGACATGTTATCAGGAGAGACAGTCCCTGGAGAAGGACATGATACTTGGCAAAGTGGAGGGTCACCAAAAAAGAACCATTTCTCTCCCTTCAGTGAAATGAACTAACACAGTGGCAGCAACAATGGGCTCAAACATAACAATTATGAGAATGTCATCAGGCCATGGACAGTGTTATTTTGTTGTGCATAGGGTTGTGTTGAGTTGTAACCAACTCAATGGTACCTAGCAACATATATATATATATATACACACACACGTGTATAATTTTTCAGATAGAAGTAAAAAATTATCGCTACAAAATCATAGAAACTTTTTTTAAACAAAAATGTCAAAATTGGAAGCTATTGTTTTCAACATATCCTCCATCTAGATCTATAAACTTCTGAAGGTGGTTTCTATCTCGCTAAGCCTTCCCTAGAGAATTCTTAGCTCTTCGATTTGCATTTTATAAAAAGTTTTGGCATCCTTGAGGAACTCAAATTATGTTTCTTTGAAGTGTTCTCTAAGTTTAAGGAATAGAAGTCTGAAGGGGCATGATCAGGCTGTAGGTTGGATGGAATAAGGTTTCTCAATGAAATTCTTGCGACCCTTAAAAAATGAGCAGATGCATTTTTGTGATGGGAAAAAATTCCTCAACACAACTTTCCTGGCTTTTTCCCCCTCACAAATGCTGTTTTCCATTTTCTTAAAACTTCTTCCCAATAAGTCCTTGTGATCGTCCCTTTGAGACTATGTACCAAGATTACTTCCTTGGAATCTCCAAAGTCACCATAACCTACTAAGCTGACCTCTTTAACTGGTCCAGCAGATCCCCTCAGAAGACATGGTTTTGATTGGGCTTTTTTTTTTTTTTTTTTAAGACACCCTAATGAGACTAAGATAAATGTATTACTGAGAAAACTTAACTGAAGCTACCCACTGATCAGTTGTTTGGTGCAGAGACATGTTTAAATACATGTTTGAAATAAATCTGTGTTTGTATGAACTGGAACCCTAATGGCACAGTGGTTAAAGCTATTGAATGCTAACCAATGGATCTACCACCTACTCCTCAGGAGAACGATGTGGCATTCTGCTTCCATAAAGATCACAGCCTTGGAAACCCTATAGGGCAATTCTACTCTGTCCTATAGGTTGCTAAGGGTTGAAATTGAATAGCAAGGACTGCCTATCAGAGTTCATGAGGGTTCCAATTTTTCCACATCATTGCAAGCACCAGTTACTGTCTCTGTAACTAGTCATTCTGGTGTATGTGTAGTGGTATTGTTTTGTAGTTTTTTGATTTGTATTTCCTTGGTGTCTGTGATCCTCTCATGAGCTTTTGGGCTACTTCTGTTTGGAGAAATTATTCAGAACACCAGTTTTTAAATGGGGCTTTCAATGATTGGTTTGTAAGAGTTTATGTATTCTAGATACATTCTTTATCAGATACATGATTTACAACTGTTTTCTTCCATTTTGTGGGCTTTTCCATTTCTTAATAGCTGCGCAGTCTTTTGTGCAACATAAATTTGCATAATAGCAGACTAAGTCCTGAAAGAGTTTATGTTTGGGTCAATTGTTGCAAACCAAGTATATAACAAATTGTTTTCTTCCATTCCCCCAAATAGAAAATCTTCCGTGCCATGTACGACTATATGGCTGCTGATGCAGACGAGGTGTCTTTCAAAGATGGAGATGCTATTGTAAATGTTCAAGCTATTGATGAAGGTTGGATGTATGGCACTGTACAGAGGACGGGCAGAACAGGCATGCTTCCAGCCAACTATGTTGAAGCTATTTAACTGATTCAAAGCACCTACCATGCCTGTAGGTCAGCGTTATAAACTTGAATAGACTCTCCATTATCAAAGTTCTCAAACTGCTCAATGGTTTTTCTGTCAAAATGATTTATGATCGTTCCATCCTCAATTCTCCAGTAAGACAAATGTTAGCATCACATACTTTTTGAATTATTAAACTAGATTTGATTTCCTCATTATTTCCTGAACTTGCACTTAACAATTTAGAGGCAACATTAAAATCTCTACGTTCTTTATATTAAAAATTATCATCAAATTTCCAGTTCGGTTTTTAAATGTTTAATTTCAGAACATTTTAGGTTTCTGCAATGTTTTATCATTATTCCATCAACTCAGTCTTTCTCCACTACAAGATGATGTTTAACACGTTAATTTGTTTTCTAAAACATGAATCCCGAACATGCAAAACATGTTGAAGGAAAAATGGCAGTCACCTTTACCTTTTCTTTGCTTACTGAATGCTGATGCTTGTATTTCTAGTCCAGTACTGAAGTTATATAGCTGATATTTAATGTAAAATGAAAAATTGATAATAATAAAATGTTAATTCTCCAACAAGTTCCACTGATGAATATTATTTACGTTTAAGACCTATGAAAATTTTCAATGAAAGAAATTCCTTACAGTATCATTTAACTAAAAAAATTACCCATTTTAAGATAGTTTAAAATGCATACAAGTAGACCTCTAAATATTGTACCTTATCAGTAAGCTTTCCTTATGACTCAGGTTGTAAAGTTATAGAAATAGCTGTGGGATCCAAACCTGACCTCAAGGGACCTTTCCTACCTATCTGTGCCAAGTGGGCTGGCAGATGTGATAGGGTATTAGAGGGGCAAAGCAGGGAGTGCCAACAGATTAACAGCTTAAACCTTTCATGATCCACAAGACATAATGTCCACCTACATTCTCCTCCTTGGGATTTACTGAGCAGCTGTTTTCCCATTGTGTACGCAGTGGGGACTATGTTAAGTGTCTGAAACAGAAGCAATGGTTGTGCACCAATAATTATTTTTACAGGGTGTTGCATGAGGTAGATGCGTCCTGGAGGTGGGACTTTGCAGTTTGTCTCTCTCTTGGCTTGCTTACTGCAAGGCAAGGGTAGCATGTTTCTTGGTTCTTGTTATTTGGACATTGCCTCTCACAATGACTTAAAGTTGTTCCCAGGAATGCACCTTCTTCAGGTGTCCTAAACTGTATGGACTGTGAATTCCAGGGGGAAATGGATCCTGCACAATAGATATCAAAATCCTTATTTCCTAACAAAATCCCAGAAATACTCCTTGACTCAGAATGCCTTCCATTAATAAAAGCACTTGGTACCAACAAAATCAAAGGTGGAAAATTAGGTCACCAAAGGGTTAATGTTAGGGAAAACTCTGTTTCCATATAACTTCAGAGCTGTCCTAATACTGCAGTTGTTCCTTAGTTTGAGATTCACAAATGGTGACTGCATTTGGAAATTATCAGTGCACTCACTGTGTGCTAGGCATTGTACTAGATTCTAGAATCCAAGTAATGAACAAGAGCCAGTCTGTTCTTATCTATGACTTGTACCGTCCCAAGAAAGGTCAGGCCATGTGATAGGAGAGATAATCACTCATACTCCAAAGTCTTAAAATCTTTGCTTAAACTGTACTAAAATCAGTCAGCAACCCAGTGCTTTTCCTATACCAGGACACTAGAACTCCAGGATTTTTTTAATTTGTAAGATTTTAAATGCAAATAGAGGCCTCCTGTACACACCTCCTACTCTTAAAAATACCAACTTGGTTAATCTCATTCCATCTCTACCCCATTATAGCACATCAACGTGCAACTTAATAAGGGAGTCCTGCTATCACTGCAGGACAAGGTACCCACACCCAACAGTTAACACCTCACCAGCCACTCAATGGAAACCCTGTCCAGGGTTTCAATAAGGGTTGGAACCAATTTGATGGAACATACATCTAAGTGTGGAGCTGTAAGATAAACACTATACTCCTAACCTGAAGGTTGGTGTTTCTAACTCACCAGCTGCTCCTCAGAAACACAGGTACAGGGTTGCTATGAATCAGAAAAGACTCGGGCGCAACAGTTGAACACAATTTTTAAAAAGCATAATCACAATTATCATCTTAAAAACTAGAAAGCAGAGCGAACAAGCTGGTGGATAGTATAGAAGTGCAGCGAGGAGCTCCATCAGCAACAACACAGAATACCAGACCAAGCAGGCTCAGAACCACATATCAAGGAATATTTAGAAAGTTGGAAGGCTTACAGCCAGTGGAATTAGTAGCAGAAGCAAGAAATCTAGTGCTTGCTAATTCAAGGCGCTCAGCTGCTCCTGGAGCCACTATCTTGGGCGAGACCAAGTGTGGGAAGGATCAGAGCAGCCACGGACACCTGACAGAACCACGGAGATAAAGGTGAGTACATTATTTGGTAGCTGTTCATTAGTCTCTTGCTGTCTGTGCACCTCCATTCTGGTAAGTAGAGGAGGTGTTTGAGCGAGTGAACGCCCCACCCCCACCCTCAGAGGGTTCTACTGTGCATGCATACAGATCCCCTCAAAATTTAAAGGGACAGTTTCCACTTAAAACCAAACTGCAGTGCAAAATGGCCACAGTTGGCCCTGAACTATTTATCAGTAGGAAAAAGGCCTGAATAGGGGTAGTGAAGTGGGACAGGCAGACTAAAAAGTAAACAGGCTGAAAATTAAATACTGAGTTACATCATAACAACCAACAGTGGCATCTTGAAATTTCTCAGGAAGAAGAGTGAAAAGCAAGCCTATCTCCTGATCACATTACCTAGAGGCAATCAGAAAGCATAAAAAAGTACCAAAACACAGACCCATCTAAGTATTAAGACCACAGCTAACGACTGAATATGACCCCCAAAAAGAAGATGACCGTATCAGCATATATCCAGAAACGAGATAAAGTGAATGAGGCAAACGAACTGGAAGTAGACCTACACTCCATACTGGAAGACGGGCAGCCTTTGGAAATGCCTGAGAAATTAAGAAAACGATTATAAAATGTATCAAAACACTTTACAATGGAGTTGAGAAAAATGAGGAGGAAGTCAGGAAAGCACTACAGGAACAATCAGATAAAACCAATACAGCATTGGATACAATTCAAAACCTACAGAAAGATTAATAGAATATCAGAAATGGTCAATACACTGAAAGGGCAAAAGAGTAGAATTGAAGAGATGGACACCAGAACTAGTAAGCTACAAGACAAATCTCTCAATACTACTAAGACAGAAGAACAGAAAAAAAAGATTAAAAATATCTGAAGAAGGGTTAAGATTCATGTTGGACAATATGAAGAGGAATAACTTCAGAATTATCAGCATTCTGGAACAGGAAGAATCACACAAGTCCACAGAGGAGATAGTTGAAGAGCTGCTGGAAGAAAATTTCCCTAACATCCTGAAAAGTGGAAAGATAAGCATTCAAGATGCTCAACGAACCCCAGGAAGGATAGACCCTAAAAGAAAATTACCAAGACATGTAATAATCAAGCTCTCCAAAATCAAAGATAAGGACAGAATTCTTAAAGAAGCTAAGGGATTTTGCGAAAGCCCACCCTGTGATTAAAACCATCCTAAAGGGAGTACTGTGGACTGAGAAGCAACAAGAACAGACAACAACCAGAGATTGACATACATGGCAGCATCACCCAGAACTCAATTGACAAATGTTAAGAGTCAATAACAGAATAAAACCATAAGAACAAATTCAGAGGATCTGGCAAGTCAATCTATGATCAAAACAATTACAATGTGAAAGAAGGTAAACACAGAGGAACAGAGATCTAGGTGGTGAAATCAGGTAATTGCAGAATAAAATAGACTGTCTTAAATGGAAGGAAGTTAATGGAATATAAGGTAACCACAACGGTGAGGGGTTTGGTGGTGGTGGTGGTGGTGGTGGAGGGAAGCAATGGTAATGCACAGGGTAAGGGCAGACATATCATAGTTCGGGTGTTGGGGGGGGGAGGACAAGGGGGAGGAGGTGGAAGAACAAGGCAGATAGGGGAACTCTTGAGACAGGTTTACCTTGGCTAAGTGGGACAGATGTAAATAGTGGTGCCTGCTCAACCTTGGAACAGGGCTCTGTGATCTAAGCATAGTCTGAAGAGGGGAAATAATACTAAGATGCTCGACTGTTTTATGAATAATGGTTTCTCCTACCTACTATTGTAAAATACACACTTGAGTGGGATAGAAAGGAGTGTTGGGAACCAAGATCACAGAATTTGTAAGCCCATCTTCAGCCTACAACTGATTGGAATACCTAAAAGGGGTTCTACAACTTGCCCAGTGAAAATAAAATAAGCCTCTTATGGAGCCTTCGCAGAGTGTAGGACCTTAGGTGGAATCCTGAGTCCCATCCGAATCTTCTGAGGTGGGGCATTCCCACTAGAAAGGACAAGCAGACCAGCTGGCACAGCTAGAGCGACCGAAAATACATCTTCAAAGAAAGATCAGCAGGAAAAACCCAAAACAAAAATGTCAGTATTAAGCAATCTGTTCACCATGAAGCTATCAAGAAAAGCAATCAAGTTCCTTCAGGACAAACCCCTTCTAAGACTGAAACTCAAACAACATGAGCTGGCATGTAAACTTGCTGGCAACCACACTGGTCTACTGGTAAGTGGAAGGGTAGAGGCAGCAATGAAGAAATGGGCTGAGTTCTACCATGGTCTATTAACTCCTATTGACCTGGAAATGAGAGAGGATAGGCTGGTTGGTCCAAAGTGTGGTGAGACCTGAAGACACCTGAGCCTATGGACAAGGATATAACCACAGAGGGCCAGTGCTGAGAGTGAAGAATCCAGCTGACTGATACACAGTGAAGGGCGTGCACAAAAACACCCAAACTTGCAGACAGAACCCATTTGACCTAGCCTCAATAGCTTGATAATCAGAACTCGACTAGAGGAAGATTACGACTAATTGTGACTGTCACTACTTTAATGGCATACATTTTTCTCACAAAACTGGGGGAGCAGTTAATCTTACAGTCCAGAAACAAAGGACCCTAGGATCATCAAGGGAGAAGAGCACAAGCAGAATGCGGGACCTTACCCAGATACCAGTGACACCAGATTTGGA